GATTCTCCATAGGTATCAATAATAAATGGCAAGGCAACTTGATTAGAAGACAACAGTTACATGAGGCATCAAGTAAAAAAGCTGAACTTCCAAAAAGAACAGCCATCAAAACCAACCATTTTACATAGTTGCAGCTCTGGCAGAACTTCAACACATGTACGGTCCAATTTCTTTACTTTGCATAAAAAATCTCGACTCAATGAATATCAAATTTCAATACATCATATTCTAAAAGAACAAAAGGGAAGTGTTAGCACCACCTTAACACCAATGATATCACAACAGAATCTGTCTTCCAAAATTTCTAGTGTAAACTAGCTTGTAAGGCAACAGTATCGTAAATGGAGCAGGATCAAGGCTAGCAAAGCTGCCTTTAAAGAAGTAACCATTCAAGAGTGACAGCTGGAGAGTTCCAATAAATGTAGGGTCTAATCTCTTACTGGGAAGAAAAAGATATCGATTTCATGAATTTTAATCCATCGTCATATATGCTATAAAGGAACCAAGAGTGCTTCGTTAGAAGCACCATAACACTGACAAAATCAGATCAACATCCTTCTTCTTGACATCCTAGTGTAAACTAGCTTAGAGGGCAACAAAATCTAGCTTGTAAAATGTTCAAACCTTAATCCTTCCAATTTAGAATTTAGATATGGCTCCAGAATCATACTAGCTTTAGAAGGCAGCAAAACTAGAGAACATGAGTCTCTTGAATCAAAATTCTTTTAAAAGGGAGAAAAAAAGGAACACATGGATTTACAGTTAAAGAAACCATGATTTTAACTTTCCAAAATCAAGAGACAGCTCAGTATTAAATCCAAATGCCTTGTTTGGGGCAGAAGAGCAACTGCGACTAGTCATAGCTCTCTTCTAGGACCCCGCTTTATCATGTTAAACCTTCTTGACTTCAAGACGGAGCAACCACCATGTGTACAAAGGGACTGAACTATAGGGAGTGAATTTATAATACCGTAGGAACTGTTTCTCCATAGACAGTTAGACACTATACAAAAGTATCCGAAAAGAATAGATCTTATATTCTTCATATGCTAATTAAAGCACCGTAGAGAAAATGGTAGGATGGGGCAAAAGAGCAACCAAGACTAGTTATAGTTCCCATCTAGGACCCCATTATCAAGCTTTAGAGTCATATAAAAAATCAAACATAGGGCAGAAGGGCAACTAAGCCTAATCTTGGTTCTCTTTTAGGACCCCATAAACATATATCTCAAAGAACCAATTACAATGACAGACAAGGCAGAAGAGCAACTCTGACCAGCAGAGTTCTCTTCTAGGACCTCATTGCCATCCACCTGAGAGAACCATGGAAAAACCGACATTTGGGGCAGAAGAGCAGCTGCGTCGAGTCATAGCTCTCTTCTAGGACCCCGCTTTATCATGTTAAAGCTTCTTGACATTAAGACGAAGTAAGAGCAAACTTGTGCAAAAAGGGACTCAACTATGCCGACTGATTTTTTTTATATAAATCGATTGTAGGAACTAGGAACGATCGTCTCACTGTTTCTCAACCTACACACTATACGGACCAACAAGAGCAAACGTGTGTACAAAGGGACTCAACAACCAACAGCGTAACTCGTATATCTCACATTCAACGTAACCAGGCTATCTTGAAATCATATAAACCAGCAAGATCTCTCAAAGTCCCATTGTAAACCCTCCCACTTAGTATCCAGCCCAGAAAACAAAATGGATAGGTCGGAAACATACCTCAACTTGGAACCAACAACGAATTCGATCGGAAGTGTCGGCAAATAGGCTTGAAGCCAAACATCACCCGTCGGCAGTCAGTCGAGTAACAAATAGGCAACAGATGTGGAATCCACGGGGCAACTACTTACAGGCGGCGACCAGCAGCGAATTAATGGGTTTTCTGAAATCATCTTTCCCTTTGCCTTCCTCAGAAGGCTACTTTCGATTATCACCGGGGCAACATGAGAAAACTCAAGCAGGCGGTAGCGAACTAGAAACCCTAGAAGGAAAGAGTACGTGACTTTACTTACTTCTCTTCAATCCCATTCTTGGAGAGAGATGATGAAGACGTTGCTGGGTGGAGGGAAAATGAATAAGAGAGCATCAATTGGTATTTATAGATCAAGGCGGAGCTCTAAAGGCGGTTAGCTAGGACGCGTTTTTGCCGCTTATAGCGTTATTTAGCCGTTAGACGCGTTTCAAACCCGTTTCAAACGCGTTTCGAACACGTTTCACTATTCCGTGTACCGTTATTTCCGTTGGACGCGTTATTTTAATTTCAATTGCCAGGTAAAATAAATTGACCACCAGCTGGACTTTTTTTCGGTAAATAAGTAGGCTGGATGAATAACAATACCAGCCCAACAATAGAAAGATGGTCCATCAGAAAATAGCCCAATAGTTATTTATTACAATTATGCCAATACACAATTTTTAGTTTAAAGCAAGGCCCAGTATCCCTATCTCGAGCCCAATTTTATGATTTTTTTATGGCAGCCTAATGTTAGGATTTTTTTTATAGAAGCCTAATGTTAGGATTTAGGATTTTTTTTTTTTTTTGAGAAAATGTTAAGACTTAAGAATTATGATGACCATTAAATGGAAAATTTAGCGCACACACTATTGAGTTCGTATGAACTACAAGAACTGAATCACTTTTATTAGTTTTTTCAATCATCTTTTTATCGTAATTTGTTTCTCTATAACTTAAATGGAAGCAAAATTTATCACATATTTGGGGTTTTATGTTTAGTAAAGTTACACATAAATATAATTTCTATTTTATTTTTGGGTCTATTAATTTATGAACATGTTTTACATACAATTGAAGTTTGGTAACGATATTTGAGATAATCGAAATACTAATGAATATCAAAATATAATCTAGTGACCATTTTATCCCTCCCAACTAGGCTTCCTTATTCACGGTTACCTAGTGGCAGATCCTGAAAGGTGTCATCTTTTAAAAATTAAGTTAAACTAATAATTAAATAATCCATAAACCAAAAAATATCCAATTAGTAAATTTTTTAACAAAATGTGATAACATGTCTTCGTATTCTGGAAAAAAACATAAAATAAACTCGGTGTCTACATCGCTCAACAAATATGTATGTCCTACTAGACAATAATTCACAAGCTGACCCCATATTCGATGTCTAACTTTGTTGTTGATGTAACTCAAAGTTGAAAAGATTCTTTCAACACTTGCCGTGTAACCATAAATTTAATTCAAATTTAGGTAGTCCGTAATTAGGTTAATTGTTAGGTTTTGAAAATAGTTGGGGATAAGGAATAACATTATTACTATTACATAATGCTTAAAATAGAACAACAAATGAATTGCAACCTAATTGAGAATATATTTAATAATAGTAGTGTTCTAGGTTGAATAACACAGACCACCACTTATATTTTTTTAATCATAAGTAAACTACTACCGAGGGTATTTTTAAATTATAGAAGTATCCCGAATTATCAGTTATATCTTTTTACCCATACGAAACTACTATCGAGGTTAGATAATCGTTTTCTCAAATTTCAGAAGTCTTCCAGACACCCCTAATATCCCATATATCCGCCCCTGCTACTACTCGACCTTCATCTGTCAAAATAATCACTTAGTTTATTCACTCACTGTTATTTGATATGTGATAACACAAATCGAGTGATACATGTCTTAGAATCCCATCGATCCATCTATTTTTTGGTGTGCATGAATAAGAATGAACAAATGGCGTTAAAAGACTAAAAAAGGAAGTTGAGGGTTCAAATTGAAAACATCCAACAAGTCTAGGGGGCTAAACTAGATTAACATAAATAGAAACAAAAGGGAGAAAGAAGTGCAAAAGGCGATTAGCGACCGATTGCCATTTCTTCGCTCAGCACTCGCCGGCTATTTGGTCCCGGAACGAGTCCTTTTTCATTCAGTTCGCCAATCGTCTTCCACCGCCGGAGCTAGCCGGAAATCGATAATCACAAGTTTCCACATTCACGATGATCCCCCGACCCTATTCAGCTGGAGAGAAGGGGGAGAATGCTACCGCTGTTGGTTCCTTCAAGCCGCCACCGAGTAGAACAAGACTGCCATGAAACCTCACATCACGGCACCGCTAATAACCTCGCCTACTTGAAGCCGCCTTTCCTCCGCCACCTCCTCCCGACGAGGTCGTGTTCAACTCCTACCTCTTTCTCAAGGTAATCCGTCCTTCGTTTTCCCACAATTTTCGGGCCCCCTGTCTGTTCGATTAATTGCCCAAGAGAGATTAGACTGGTTTCAGATAATTTGGTTGATATCATGCATTGCAACGGTTACGAGTTACTCATTGTTTGAATACGGATTCTGATGATGTTATACTTGGTTGGCTGCTCAGTGCAATACCTAGTTCTGCCCTGAACATAGTCGATTGAACAGAAGACAGTCAGTCGGTTCTTTTGTTTCTTCTTATCAGTGCTTTATGACTTGTTCACTTGAATGCGAGAGTAGAAAAGGCTGATCTTTGACGATAATGGAAATGCAGATGTCTCTTACAGACTCTGATTCAATACCTAATTTCAGGTTGGATCTTTATTACTTCCTCAGTGGTCAGCACTAGAATCAATACACATACATATGCAGTCAAAATAGCTTGGAAATGGGTAGTGAATTCATAACCGCCCACTCTGTCTCTAATATACAACAAGTTCGGAGTTTGTTCAAGCTCGCTTATTTTACATGACCGAGCAGAATCTCGGTGGGATTCCAGGGATATAAATGAGTTATTGCCATTGATGCGGTTAAGAATGCTTGTTAGAACCGCATCATTGCCCTCTTTATCACTGCCAGGAACCTCCAATTTTTCCTTGACATAGCATCTAATCGTCTTGTCGCTTCCACTTTTTTTCCTACAGAACTTACCCCATTCCCCGGTGGTAACGACAAGGACTTATTCCCTTGGTACCTTGAAGTTGGGAATGAGTGATAAGAGCAAGCTGAAAGTTTGCTAATGGAAGGAGCTGAAAGTTCGCTAATGCATGGAGCGCTGAAGGATGACTTGATGGTTCTTGTGGAAATTGTCAGCGACGTTCCTGTATGCGGAAGTGGTCCGAAGGATGATGAATTTCCACCTAACTTGGTTTTGCAGGAACCTGATTTGCTCGAGAAACTATGACAATACAGAGAAATATACTATTAGCAACATCAAGAAGGAAAGAAGTTACTGTCAAAAACTACAACATACCAGTTCAAGTCATTCACACAGATATCCTGAGGTCTTAACGCAAAGCCCGTGCCTTTTAACAAGGAAGCAACATCGTTTACTATCAACTTCAAATCAGCAACTTCCTGTGGGAGCAAGACAGTTTATTCAACGGGAAGTGACCAGCTGACCATGTTTTGACAAATATCAAGCAAATTAGACTATGAATAGGAAGCACACACCTTATATCTTGGTGAGTGAAGATACCAATTAATATCTTGTGCAGATGTATCGAATATCTTTGTTAGTTGGAATGCAGATGATATCATCAATCTTTTCTCCTTGCAAATCTGAACAGAGTCATTGTCCTTCGGTTTCCCAGTTAAGCTTATTTCTTCATCAAGCACTCTCATCAAAGCATGCAGCAACCACTCATATACAGTAGGGGCAACAGACTTGTGATGATGATGATCCACATCATTATTGCTATGACGAGCTGTTTGAGGACGTAGTGGATACCCCAACCGAAGAAGAACTTGTGCAGCCATTAGAGCAGCTGTGAAATTAACAATTCGGCCCTCCGTAATATAGATGAAGCACAGCTCAGCAAGATAGGCGGGTTGGATAACAGTTGCAGGGTTGACATACTTGGGCTCCAACGGTAACACGGATTGCATCTTTTCTACCACGTCAGGAAGGCAAAATATGAAAAGCAACTTGAAAATGGACATTTGGGATGTCCATTCCTTCAAGCAAGGATGATGGCTGCAGAAGAACAACAGAAAACTCGGATGAATCAATTGGAAGGATCCTCTGAATGGACGAAAAGGACAAGAAATTCTTGTTCATAATGGCATCAAACAAATTAGTGAAGGGAGTGTACCATAACTTCTCAATGGCTTTGTTGAAGTCCGAATCAAGGATTTTACTCCTGCAGACATGTGGTGGTCGAATCAAGAGCTCCAATCCAGGGTAATCGTCTCGCAGGTTCATCCTACAGGACCACCGAGCAACCAGGTTAAGTTTGGGTACAAGTAAAAGTGCATAGAACATCAACAAGAGAAGCCATGTATCTTAAACTTATTGGGATAGTTACCAGTAATGATAGCCACCATGCATCGTCTCCTCGCTCGGATGGGCGGTCCTGACCGGGCTGTCAACAAACAACAGTCAAACTTTATACGCATATATGTGGATTATGCAAAATCGAAATTAGCGGAAGTTACCAACGTAGAGAAGCCATCGGAAAGCCAGCTTCCTTGAGCACAGTCTTAAACTGTTGAGCTATTGGGTAATCGGGAAGAAGAGGATATATTTCCCTCTCCTTTTCCCTTTCCCATTTCTTCTCCTTTTCCTTCTCTAACATTGCCATTACGTTACACAACTGGGGGCCAGCCCTGCGGAAGACTTCGAGCAATCGCAGGGAACAAGTGATGCTTGATATCCTGCAGTGCAGATCGTGGCGGATAGATTTATAGGGGAGACTACGGTTGGGTTCAATGGCGAGGCTAATGCCAGTGAGAAAAGCAAGCTGAGCAATAAGGAAATCCCGGAGTGACAAGGGGGCGGTTCCAAAACGCTGCTGGAGAATGGTGTCCCTGAAGAATGTTGGGGAGAGAACTCGGTCAGGTACCGCGAGCAAGAGCCAAAGCAGCTTGGGAGCTTGGCCGTACCTTGCATAGTGCAGAATCCTCATCTCCAGCAGGCCCTGTTCGGTGGCCCGCCCCAGCAGCTTGACCATGTGCCACCAGTCGAAATCGTAGCTGATCCATTTGGGAAGCCAGTGCATCAAAGTGCAGAGCCTTTGATCATAATAGATCTTGCCCTTGGGTGCCGAATCAAACTGATCCAAGCAACTCGCATATAATGCGGCATCGATTGGAAGCTGATCCGGTTGACGATAATGTGTTGGTACCCTGGCACTGGGAGGAACCCCATGTTGCAAAAACAGCTCGACCGCCTCATAGAACCCGAGCTCAGCAGCTTCAAATATGAGCGGTCGGCAGCTGTCAGGATAAGCAAACAGATCCAAGCGATTGTGAGAGAGTTTGCGCTCGAGAAGTGCGGTGAGGCAACCGATTGCTCCTTCACGTAACAATTTGAACACAGTCCGACTGGGACATGTTTCATGGTTCGGGTCCAAGGACGCTAGAAAAGCTTCCACATTATCACCATCCTCCTTCTTTGGCACCCCAACGTCTGAGTTTGAGTAGTCTGAGTAACAGAAAAAGGGAAATTCAGTGCAGTAGGAGAGTGGTGGGAGCTTCCGTACGAACAAGACTTTCCCATCAGCTTGAGGTTGCCTCATCAGCTGCATATGAGACCTTAAGTGACCTCCCAACGACCTCCCGCTACGGAAGCGCTTGCCGCAGTACTTGCATAGATGCTTCAACTCTACCTCCTCTTTGCCGTGATGATGATCACCATCGTCTTCCATTACCGCTGTAGCAGAAACAGAAGAGCAATTATGGAACAGAGGAAGTTGAGTTCAGTTCAGTTCAGTAGTTAGGAAGGGAAACAAAGGGGGAGATGCATGGATGGATCGCAGCCATTGTCAGCTCGTCCTTCCTACCTTTCTGCAACTTGTTTCTTTCTTTCTTTCTCACGCCGGCAGGAGAGACAGAGAGAGGATCGGCGAGCGAGAGAGAAGGAAGTTGAAGTAGGGTTTTCCCTCTATTAATCGGTGCCTTGGAGGTCGGTAGGTTAAACGGTTAAAGTCCACATTGATTCCACACCCATTTGTTCGACAATACCTAATTTAACACCTCAAAAATTAAACAGCTCAAATATAGCACCTCAAGTTCTGGTTTTCTCCAATACAACAAGGATAGCACCAAACCTTTACATTTTTTAATTATTATAATAATAATAATAAAAAAGAATTGGCCTTGGTGTTTTGAGAAAAACTAATTTTTGGTATTTTGAAGAAGAAGAAAAAAAAGTTCATAACGGAGCTGTTCATAAAAACTTCTTTTTTATCTTTTAATTGTACTTTAACTTCACGATTTCGATCTGTACCATTCTGAAATCCTAATAAGCTCTTTAGTCAGCCTCCGCCTATCTTAGCAACACCAAATCATCTGCCAATGTCGCAGTGACACAAGATTTAACATTCTAGCAAATAAACTTTTATGGGTTAATTGCATGGTTGGTCACTGAGATTACAAAAAACGTTCATGTTTGGTCACTGTAAATATTTAAATCCAATCTTGGTCACTCAAATTAGTTAAATGGTTCAAGTTTGGTCACTCTCCGTCCAACTCCGTTAAATTTGTCTGATGTGGCAGTCAACCCTCAAAGTTGACTGTTAACTCAGTGACGTGACAATTAAAAAATAATAAATAAAATAAATTTTAATATTCTACAATTTCCAACTCATTTTCACATTAAAGTAAAATAAATAAATAAAAATTTTACAGTGACACTCGACCTCCGCCACCTTAATCCCATCGCCATTAGCCAAACTCCAAATCCCTAGCTAGCGCGCCCCCCAAATCAATCATTTCAATCCGCCATGGCTGCAATCTCTCCGATCTCCTTCCTCTTCTCCATCATCCTCCTCCTAATCGCGCCAATCCCATCCACGGCGGGGAAACCACACGTCATCAAGTTCCGATCCCCCAATCCCTACCCAGAGGGACTCGCCTACGACCGCTCCGCACAGCACTTCATCGTCGGATCCCTCCGCCACCGCTCGATCCACTCCGTCTCCGATGCTGGCGTCGTCGACACCCTCATCACCGACCTCTCCCTCCCAACGCCTCGATCCTCGGCCTGGCGGTCGATTCCGTCAACAACCGCCTCCTCGCCGCCGTCCACTCCATGGCCCCGCTCCCAATCTTCAATGCCTTAGCCGCCTACGACCTCCGCACCCGCCAGCAACTCTTCCTCTCCCTCCTCCCCGACGGCGAAGCCACCGGCCGCCCCGTCGCGAACGCGGTGGCCGTCGACTTCAAGGGCAACGCGTACGTCACCAATTCCTTGGGAACCGAGGAAGGTAACTTCATCTGGAAAGTAGATTCGGAAGGAAACGCGTCGATCTTCTCCAGATCGGATAAATTCACCGAATCCCCCATCGACTGCCGTACAGCGAATCGGGGCTCAACGGCGTGGCCTACGTCAGCAAGGGGTACCTTCTCGTGGTGCAGAGCAACACCGGGAAGGTGTTCAAGGTCGATGAGGTCACCGGGGGAGCGAGGCGGGTGATCCTGCCGGCGGATCTGATGTACGCCGACGGGATCGCGGTGAGGAGGCGGGACGGGGCCGCGCTGTTCCCCTGGAGGTCGAGGTGGCGGAGGTCGGGGAGGTCGGCGAGAGGGGGCGGGATGGGGCCTTGGAGGAGGTTCTGAGAGAGGTCGAGGAAGCGGAGGGCGCGGCAGGCGGAGATGGCGGCGAAGGGGAGGGAGGAGTTGATGGAGTTGTTGAAGAGGGAGAGGGAGGAAGCGCCCTTTATTTGTAATTTTTTTGTTTTATTTTTTTTACTTTAATGTGAAAATGAGTTGGAAATGGTAGAAGATTAAAATTTATTTTATTTATTATTTTTTAATTGCCACATCACTGAGTTAACGGTCAACTTTGAGGGTTGACTGCCACATCAGACAAATTTAACGGAGTTGGACGGAGAGTGACCAAACTTGAATCATTTAACTAATTTGAGTGACCAAAATTGGATTTAAATATTTACAGTGACCAAATATGAACGTTTTTTGTAATCTCAGTGACCAACCATGCAATTAACCCAAACTTCTATTGATGAAAGGACAAAACTCGAAACCAGCACATCCATAATTTTTGTATAATACTGCCAGATAGATGGATATACCTATACCTCAGAGCATTGCTTCTCCACGAATGACTTCAGCTGCAAGTCATCCCATATCGATAGATACTGTGAAACAGCAACATCAGAAGAACCGAGAGGAAATTTGATAGAAGGACCTGTAATCGCCTACCAACTTTACTTCTATAGCAATACTGTAACACACAGGACTGAATTGTAAATAAATAGAAGTTCAGGGCAGGGTGTAAGTATCATTTTGGGAACGTTTCGGGATTAATCTGTAATTGTGCTGAACGGGTATAAATGATACCCGAGTGTGTGAGACAATGGCTATGTGAAATCAATAACAAAACTTTCCCTTCTCGTAAAGAAAGGTAATAGATCCCTTGGAAAAAGAAAAAAAGAAAAAGGTGATAGATCCTCCATCTATCTCTCCACCACGCTCATACTTACACTTTTAATGTCTGGATCTGTTGGTTACATATGCCTGAAAACCAGTGTCCATGAAACCGTATCATACCGGTGGTTCAACCACGAAATACCAGTATCGGAGGCTAAATCGATATGCGGTATTTACCGGTATAACGGTTGAACTACGGTTAAACCACGGTTTTACCATAAAATACCCTACCGCCGACTTTCCCGGTATGGTCTCCAGTACGGTTTCATGGACTATGCTGAAAACATGGCACTTGCTGCAGAACACGATGTATCAGCAGTAATAAGTTAAGTTCCGGATGCAGACATTATAGAGATACTAGAATTAATACCCACAGCTACGTTGCGAGGACTTAAGTTGCAATAATATCGTCTTCTAATGAGTACCGAGAAGGTTGTGTCGGCGACTTGCAATGGGAGCAAACATAATACTGAAACATTACCAAGAAAATGCTCGATAGTCTACATCAACTGGTCAAAGATAGATAGAGCCTGCAATTCATACTACGGGAAATGAGTATTTAAATAATTATAGATATTCTCAATACTTGGAAATAAAAAGAAAAGTAATATCTACTTTTTATCCAAATCTTTTTCAGACTCTTTTATATCATCCAAATTTATCAAAATGCTAAGAATTAGCCAAATGTTAACTTTCAGTTAGCAATTTTGTTAGTAATAAGTTACAAAATTATTAATGATAACGTAAAAATGGCTAATATTTTGATGCATCATGAAAGATTTGGCTAATTAATAGAATTTTAATAGGTTGGATAATATAAAATAATCTGAAAAAGGTTTAGATAAAAAATAGACATTACCCTAAAAAGAACTATGTAGTGTAGCCTTATTGCCGTTGCAAACTCCTAAACGTCAACCCGATAAGTTGAATGCATCATACCACAATCCAGTTGAAATTCCATAGTCCATGCTCTACACCTATTGTGCTACAATTCCTAGTAATTTGTCGAAGAAAACACCAAGGATGCCCTTGCTTCCTCTGCATGCTGGGTTTCATCACCAAAGAGTTGTCCTTATCCTCAAACTGTCCAGCTTTGATACCCTCACTAAGCTTGTCAATCAGAACCGCACCACTATAAACAGTGTATTTCTTACTATGATTCTAATATTTCACTCTTGTTGAGACAAATGAAAAGAGCAATTGAAACCCAAAAGTAAAAGACAGCTAGGTAAATGACATTGATTCAGTTGCATGTTGAAGAGCATTAAGGTAAAAGCATGTGAAGAACATCTGAGGTGAAAATCACATGACATATCTAGCTACCTCTTGTGATGTTTAAACTACAGACAAAAGAGATAAACTTTCCAAAATAATAATCTGGTATCATAAGCAATACATGAACTTCTCATTATAGCCATAGAAAGCTTCTCATTAAACTTGATTCTATTGTTGCTCATATCCAACACAGTAGCATCAACACATCATGACTAGACCAAATGGCTTCAAAAGGCATTTATTGCACGGTCGAAACCAAACTCCATAATGAAAGGAAAACAAATATCCCATGACCTCTTACAATTCTTTTTCCCGGTAATTGTTGTTCTTTATTAAGCCCATACTTGGTCCAAATCAGACCAAGTCTCCACGAAAACTCCCCTTTTAGGGTCCTACAGTATACAACATGCAACAGCACTTTCCAACACTATCTACATAGGCTAGAGAAACATGACTATGCCATTACAAAACCATATTCACTGTTACAAGAGGAATAGGTAGCTATATCTAATTCTGCTTGCAGCGAGATACTCTCCACTGTCCGCATTGAACCTCCATACATACACTGGCATCTTTCCTTCCATATAACAGCCAAAAACCAACACCAGAGGCTGCCTATAACTCTGCCACTAGCATCCCTCTTCCTTGTCAGTGAACATACTCTGCTAACCATTCTCTCCCAGTTTCCAGGCCAACTGACAGCAGGGACCATCTCTGCAAGAATTGCTAATGAGAATGGACAAGCACAAAAGAGATGCTCTCTAGTTTCTATTTCCATATCACATAGTATGCACAACCCACTTGTTATGCACCCCCATTCCAGCAGCTTATCCTTTGTAGTAATTCGATTCAAAATGACTAGCCAACCAAGAAACCTATGCCTAGGAAGCACAAATTTGTTCCACAGAGTAGCAAACCATTCAACTTTGCTCCTTTGAGGTCTGATTGACTCCCAGATGAGCTTAGTAGAAAATTTATCCAGAGGTCTCCCTTCCCAAGTCACTTCCTGCTGATCTGACATTAGCCGAAATTGAAACCAAGACTTTCAGCAATCTCCTCCAAAGCCATGATCCAACCTGAGTCTCCCTTAGCTGACAGATAGTCCTTGTCTTCAATTCAAAATTAGGGCAATCTTGGAAAAACTGATCCTGTAAAGTTGCTCCCACAATCCATTAAGTATAGTTGTAACACTGGCGAAACCATAAGAAACTTTGTCGATGTATGAATTCCATGTACATCCACCCTCCGGCGCCATCTTCATGTGCACTCTTGGAACTAAAACCTGTACCTTCCAGGAAAAAATTCAAAACATCATTTTTCAAACTGCTGTGAATGAATGTTGCAAAAAGTTCTTTGCAGAGCATACATGCAATCCCAATGATTTGAGTCTGCTCTTCTACCGTGAATACAAACTGTAATAAAAATAGTGAAACGTTTATCTCTAATCAAGTTGGGAATTAGGAGGAAATAAAAATTTCATTAGGAATCAGTGAAAGGCAACCCACCTCGGGTAACATGTGAGGTCTGGGAGAAACAGTACACAGCAGGAAAGAGAGCCAGTCACAACGTTTATGTTTGCAAAGTGTTTTTATTTATTTTGTCAAAGTGGGTATATCTGGCGGGCTTGAATGCTTTTCTTTTTTCTTTTTCTATACTGCTGCAACCTTGCAATCAAACTTTACTCTAGTGTAAATAATAACAATGATCAGTCAGGGTTGATTACCATTGGGTGGCTGTTTCAGCCGACCTGCCTCATATTTGTAGTTTGTAATATGACATCTATTCGGTTATGTGGGCGCTTCTCAAAGTTTGCAGCAGAAGGAGTTTCACTTATCATTTCGAATACACCCTATTCCGTTGTCTAGTAGATCTCTGAGTTTGCATATGCTGGATGATATGACTACAGATAAATATCAGGCCAAGAGTTCATGATTATAATGGAGGAACAAGGACTTAATGTTTGTAATTTGAATTTGAAAAACAATAAGAATGTAGCTCGGACTGAAAGATGATATACAGAGCTCAGCTGAAATAAGTTACTAACCTCAACGTTAGTATTCAAAGTTCAGCTTGGGCAGGGAGAAGCTGTTGCAAAAGCATGAAACAAAACTTTTTTTCAGAGCATAGAATCGGAAATTATAATTCAGATGTCTATTTTCTCCAACAAAAGTAAAGAGAACATGAACAATCCGCCATCATAGGCCCGCTTCGACAGTCTATACAATACAGGAGCATTAGATGAAGCAAATTATATATAGCATAAGAAAATGGGTTGTATACCAATAAGTTGGTCAAGTCCAAGTGACTACAGTCTCTTCCTATTTGTCAAGAGCGTTGCAACAAACCTATCATCCTTCATCTAGGTACAAAACGAATTGGGAAGAATATCTCGGATTACCATCTTCTGAGACCAAAAGTTTGTTTGCTTACCTGCTCATAATTTCTCGCAGCTAGGAGGATGTGTTTGAGAATGAATCGATCCTCCCTTTTGCCTCATATGACAATCACCTAAAAATAAATTGCAAAGAATGAAGATTGGAAGAATAACCCTAAAACAACTAAAAAAGCAAAAGAAAAAACAGTGGAATGGAAGTGAATCGATCCCCCTTCTCATCCCCTGTGGCAGTTCCGGCAAGCTTAAACACATAATTAAGGAAAGGATAAAAACAAAATGGCATATTAGAGATGGTGGGTTGGTCAGAGGTAGTGATCAACTACTATACCTGACAAGGAATCCAATCCAATTTCTTTGACAGCCCTCTCCTTCATCATGGTGCGCTCTGCAGTCTGCTCATGCGGAGTGAAACTGGACTGGAGAATAAAGCAGGCAATCAGCTTGTCGTGCAAGCAGCGGTGGAATTAAAGCTCGTAGGGGAAATCACATCTGAAACTGAGAAAGAGGAGAGACTAAAAGATCATAAAGAGACTTAAAAAAGAAACAAACCAAGTGTGCGGGTTGCTGGCAAACCTCTACTGATGAATCTTTTTTTGGACGAGATTGTTGGATTTGAAGCTCTGAGAGATGAAAGTTGCAACTGCTCCTCCCCGCCGCTGCACAACGTTCTGCCTCTGTGTTTGGAGTCGAAAGAGAGAAACTTTTCCACCACAAAGAGGAGCCAGCTGAGAGGCGAAGAAGAGAAACTTCTTGTTAGAAATGCACAAACGACAAAGAGTTAAATAGTAAAGAGCAATAAAGGGTACCCACTCTTTATTATGTTTTAGAGAATAAGTTGAACTCAGGGTGGAGCAAAGGGACAACCGAAATGAGTGACTGATCATCTCAAACTAAGATGCACCAAGAGACAACTTTTCAACTACAACATCCTTTCTCAAACATGATCATCATTCCACCATCTCTTCACTTGGGACATCCACTTAACAGGATAGAGCATAAGAGCAACTGCAAAGATAAATCGATTGTTTAAACCCCTAACTTTATCTAACTGCCTACTCCATTGCACTTACTAACATCATATAAAAGCAATCAATTAATCTACATTAGAAAAGCCTCCTTGTCCTCACCCACCATATTAAAATAACAAAGCAATCAGAGCTTCACCTGCGATTGCCCCTTTGGCATAATGCAATCACAGCTTTGTCGAGCCATGCCACTTCCACCATTTGTATGTTCAAAGTAGCACTAAGCACATCATCGCCAAACATGCTCCTAAAGACGAGTATTTACTGTAAGCATCTGAAATCTGAACTTCATTCTTCACTGCCACAAGTTTCAAGCTTTTGCTAGAACAGATTTATGCAAGATCAAAGTACCTTGAAAGCTCGAAATTATGATTCGTGAACTCTGCAAGTTTGGACTAGTTCTTCTCCGGGATAGCAATGTTTTTCCATGTAATGCAAGATCTGCAACTTCCGACATTGTGGTTATGAAACCTGTCCCCATAAAGCCACCATTGCTTAACTGTGCTATGCACCTGCCTACATTGAAGAATTCACCTTTGCTTAGCTTATCTCCTTTAGTATATCAAAGGTCAACCATCACATTACCAGCAACCTTAGTGTAATTCAAGAAATTGCAGCGTAATCATCTGATGGGCTCGCCATAGATCACAGGAGGCAGATGAAGTCCCACGCAGGTTCGGACGAGCCCATACGTGGCTAGAAGAGGCCCAACCGATCCAATCTAGTAGTGCTGCTGCTTGCGTAGGAAGGAAAGAGGATTTGGTTGTTTGTTGCAGATCGGATCTGTTTTGCTTTAGTTTCATTATGATTTCATTGTTTAGCTGGTAGGATTTGATTGTTTGAATAAAGTAGGTGTAGGGAGAGTTATCTCTCCGAATCGTAGGAGATCGGAAGGATTCACATGTAACTTTCGATCTCAGTTTAGGATTTACAGCACTCTATATAAGGAGGCTGAATTGGAATAACAGGCAGCAGAGAAAAACCCAGAAAATTGCAGTAGCTATTCGGCCAAAGCTGGCCACCTCCACTCCTAAAGCAAACAAAATCACTCCTCTGATCCAAAAGTTCCAACATCATCACAGACTAAGAAGCAACCATTTGCAGACTAACCTTCCCAGAATCACTCAGCATATACTCAATATTTTTTAGCAATGTGCTAAACTTGAAATGTGATTTGCTGGTCTTGAAAGCTAAAATTAGGATACTTGGAGGACAACAACAATCAGTCTCAAGGACACTAGCAGCCCTGCAAAAGTCGTTAATTCAAAATATTGTATTCAGTAAATAAGATCTGTCGATCACTAGAAATGGAATCATAGTTCAAGGCGTAAGCACATACCTCAAGATCGCCATTCATTTCACTTGAAGATGCAGCAGGAGGAATAAATTTTCCTCACCTTCGAGAGCCTCGTCCGTCGAAAGGAACATCATCTTGATAATTTTCATTACACATTGCATCTTTTTTATTATTAAGATTATAATATTTGTTTGGATCACTATCACCTTCATTGTGAATATACATGATTCCAATTGTCTCAGCATGTTTCAAACAAGAACTGTAGGTACTATGACCTACCTCCACCTTCGCCTCACTTTCCTTGCTTAAAGCATCGGCTAGGGATAGGAACTTGGTTTGTATCCTTGTTATTGTCACTGGCATCCCAGGATGGCCCAAAGCATCTCGAACCCTGAAAAACAAGAGACTTCTTATAAACGATATAGATGGATTATATATACAGTGCAATGTAAGTTGAGTGATAGATAGTTTCCTACTTGGTCTCAGTAAGCTCTCTGATTCTGTCGCTCATAGTACCTAAATATTTCGAATCACCATAAACAACAAGTCCTGAAATCTCTTCCACGAGATCAGGCCGTTCACTTTTGAGCTTGCGACACGCCATAAAAATGCCTTCTACTTCCACATTATGCGTGAAGGCTAAATCCATCTGCATATTACATCCGTCCTCGACTAATGTAGCTGTCCACTTTGGTCTTCCGCGCTCATCTCGTAGAACCACTCCAATGTATACTCTACCCTCTCTCGTGGAAGCATCAGTGTCAAGGTAGTGCCTTAAGAGAAGTAGGGAGAAACCAAATTAGACTATGTTTTAGATTGAATAAAGTTAACAATTGAAAACTTACCATCCATTCCGTAGCGGTCGACGTGGAAGTATATGCCTCTGGACAAGGTTGATTTCATTGTAATTCTCGTCCAGATGAATGACTTGCTCTTTCTCGACAAACAAGACATTGTACCTCAAGATTGCCTCCCCAAATACAATCTTGAGGTCAGGGCTAAGGTGTTCAAATATCTCATCGAAGGCCTCCACCGTCATATACCACCACCTCCACCAATTCCACACATCTCGAGCCTCTTCACGAGCTTCCTGGTCAGAAAGGAAATCTCGAGCTTGTTCATGTGTCATGTTGTTTAGAGTGAAAACAAGGCTTGGTTGCTCATAATTGCTTGGCCCGGGGAAACTTATGTTGTGCTGGTTATAGTTGTTCCCTCCAGTGAAACTAAGGTTCCCTTGCTCGTAATCACCCGATCCGATTAAATTACTATATCGAGGAACTTCGGAGCTATGGTGCCGGTAGTTGTTCGGCCTAGGAATATCGCAGCTCTGGCGATGATGGTAGTTGCTCGGTGGTGGAGAGCAAGGAAGACGAAGACTCTGACTCCTTGTTATCCGCGGAATAGTCTCACATAACTTCTTCCACCCCTCTTCAAATAAAATGGAGAAAATGTTAGAACGTTAGAAGTATGAAATGAAATTAAATGATTGACTGTTTTATCAAAATGATATTCACGGACTCTTAGGGTGGTGGTCGTCGCTCGGTGGCGGAGAACTAGGACGACGAAGACTCTGACTTCTTCTTATCTGTGGAATAGTCCCCCGTAACTTCTTCCAACCCTCTGCAAATGAAATGGAAAAAAAGGTTAAAACGTTAGCAGTATGAAATAAAATGAAATTGCTCGTTGACTATTGTATCGAAATGATACTGAGAGATTTTTAATTATAAATAGTAAGTAAGAGTCTCTCAATGTGAAGTTAGTCTTTGATATAGATAGTCTTTGAGATAGATAGTAAGTTTCAGACATTTTGTTGCTACTGTGACAATAGTAGGACCTTAATTATAGAACTAAGGGACTCTGTGCAGGGTGTTTTAGCAATGATTGATTTGCAAAGGATGAGAGGTTTCCAGGAAGTTGAGGTGATTCACAATTTTGATATTCGGTATATGAGAGATGAGAAACTAAATTGGTTAATGTGTTTTTCTTGCATGGAGGTGCTGTTTTTTTTTGGAAGGAAAGAGAACAAATAGTCGTAATGAATTGTAATTTATTTCAAGGATTTCATGGTCTCTAAACTTGAATTAACAGTAGCAATGAGATATGCTGGTGAGATACATGAAGAGTCCCACAAGGACTCATCTAGTGCTAGTGAAGAGGCACTCAGGACCATGATATTTGGTACATAATGAGCATGCAGTAAGAAGGCATGTGCCACCACTGGTTGAATGAGACTAAAGTTACCACAAAGAGATATGTGGCAGCAACAAGTAAACATAGTTGTTGAGATAAGTGGGCAACTTGACAGTTGACACAGTTGATATGTATGAATGAATGATTATGTTTATGCACTGACACTTGCATCATCATCATCATTATATAATTTGGCTTGTTGTTGTTAATCTTTGTGGTGCAGCTTCGTTTGGTACTTCCTGAATAAGCTTATTTCTTTGTTCTAGGCTCATTTCATTTCCATACTGATGGAATGAAATTTGTTCATGCTCTGGCCAAAGCTACTTATTCACAAAATAAAGCAGCAGGGTGCAGCGTCATATACATATGCAGAAGGTTGCTCATTATGCACGTGAGCCAAATTGGTTCGTAATCACTCGGTGCATATGGACTGGTTGAGAAGGATTCTGAAATTGATGTGTTGGAAGGAACTATGCTGATGTCTCGTGGTCATTAATTATGAGCAAGGCTGTAAAGATGGACAGACATGTTTGAAGAGCTCTTACTTAAGACTAATTATGTTGGGAATGATGTATGTAAGGCTTGGTGCTTGGAAGGATATTGCTGAGAATTTCTGGTGATCAGATAAGAAGCATGCTCGTTGCTGCTGCAAGTTTTTGATGTTTCTGGATTTGTTAACAAAGAGGTAATATTGGAGTGTGTTGCATAGGCCGCATTGAGACAATTCCACCTAGCTCTGAAGTTGCAGTTCGCAGATTTGAAACAAGAGGATCTCCTCAAGAGTATCTCAACTCTGTAATTATTATGCTTGATTTAATGATCTTGTGTTAAGATGGTCCTGTTATGCCATATTCCTTATTATTTGCTTAATTAGAATTTGCCATGATTCCTATTTTCTCTTGTCCATATGCTTATCTTTTTGTCCTGCGTGATTTCTTCACTGTTTCAATGATTCATTGAGGCAATCCTATTTCTCATATTATAGCAACTTGGTACCACAAGTGTACTCAGTTCATATCCTTCTTGTGCCTCTTCTTTAAAGTTCTGATACATGGTTTCTTTTATGTTGAGTATATAGTTGCTAAAAAATAGCAGAGTATAGCAGGAGTCAAGTTAGTTAGAGGGATTTGCTGATTTGTAGGATAGTGGGTAAGTGGATTGTGCTCTATAGTGCTGTTTTCTGCAGCTCGACAAAAAAAAAAAAGACAAAGTTGTATATATTTGATTTGTTTCAGTCAATAAGCCTTTGCCGGTTTGCATTCTTTTGAGTTTCACATTGTGGTATCATAGCTCAAGCAAGTTGTAACCAAAATTTCGAGTTGAGGGTGAGTATTTCTGCGTGATAATTTTGTGGGTGAATTGCAGATTTGGGTTTGGAAAATCAAGAGAGATTGAATTTGAGGATTGCTTCTGAATGTGAGTGAAACACGAGAGGTATTATAAATCAATTATTGTGAGAGTTGTAAATTGTGTGCCGAGACTAAGGGTGAGAAACCAACTTTACTCCATTATGTTTTCCCAAATTCGATGGGGATTATGACTACTGGAGTCTTCTAATGGAAAACCTACTTCGATCCAAGGAAGATTGGGTAGTAGTAGATGAAGGGTTCAAGGAACCAGCAGCAGGGAGGTACTTTCTGCAACTGAACGCAGGAACCTGGATGATAAGATGTTGAGAGATCTGAATGCGAAGAATTATCTATTCAATTCCATAGATAAAAGCATTCTGGAGACTATCACCCAAAAAAGCACATCCAAGGAACTACGGGATTCCATGAAAGTCAAGTATCAAGGAAGTGTTAGGGTTCAATAGGCTCGATTACAGTCTTTGCAGAGGAATTTTGAAGTCTTGGAGATGCAAGATGGCAAAACTGTAACTGATTACTTTGGTAGGGTGATGCTGGTAGCAAATTCGATGAGGAATTGTGGAGAATCTATGTCCGATGTCAAAATTGTTGAAAAGATTCTAAGGACATTAACTCAAAAGTTCAATTACATGGTCTGCTCTATCGAGGAGTCTAAAGATATTGATAATTTGTCTGTTGGTGCTCTTCAGAGTTCCCTATTGGTTCACGAGCAGAATTCAATAAGGGCATGATTGAACAAGAAGATCAAGTCCTAGAATTGGTGGTTGATAGAAGAAGTCCAGGTCGAGTTGATAATCAAGGCAGAAGAAGATTTTGTGGCAACATGTGGACTAGAGAGAAATTAGAATGCTTTCACTGTCACAGATTGGGTCATTTCAGATTGATTGATTTATTGTCCTAAATGGGGTCAACAGGCTTTCAACGTCAATGGTTCTACTAATCCTCAAGCAGATATGGATGAAGAAGTCTTATTGATGGCTTGCATTTAGTCGGAAGAGAAGAAAGGGCCAGTTGTGATGAGTCCATTGGAACAAATAGAGAAGAATACATTCTGGTGGGTTTTGGACTCCGGTTTAAGCAACCATATGTGGTAACAAGCAATTGTTTAATTGCATTGATACTTTCTTTAGTTGCACTATTAAGTTAGGCAATGGCACTAGATACCGGTGCAAAGAATGGGAACTGTGAGGATGAAGGTGCAAGGAAAAAATCGGGTAATTGAGGATGTGTTTTATGTTCCTCATTTGAGAGTTAATTTTCAGAGCATTGGTCCAATGCAAAAGAAGGGAATATCAATTCTTATTCACCATGGAATCTGTAAACTCTTCCATGATGATAAGGGGTTCCTGTTTCATACTAAAATAAGAAGAATGACATGTTTGTGTTGAATAATGATCTTGTTGCAAGCTCAAAATAAGAAGTTCAGTGTCTGCTAACTTCTGAAGTTTTTAAGCAGACCCTAAACCTGGGGCATAAAGCATCCAGCGGCTTGAAAAAAATGCACAAAAAAAGAAAGGTGCGAGAGCTACAACAATTGAAGTTCTAAAGGCGGGTGTCCCACATAATGAAGGGGTGTTTGTTTATGAGGTAGATTCTGTGATAGAACAACCTCTTGGGATTACAGTAGGATCATTGATTCCTGTAATAGCAACAACAAGTGATTCAACACATGTAACTACTTCTACAAGTGCATATATTGATAGAGAAAGGATTATGGGTTTAACTGATGGTCTTGAGCTGCAAGCTACTGAAGTATGGGAAAGTCTGAAAACACCACCACCTTACGTAGATGTGTATGAGTGTGATATGATGGTGCTGCCTTTATATGCTCTAATTGTAAATGCCAAGAATTCTCCACACTTTGAGGAAGCAGTAAAAAAGGATAACTGGAGGCAGGAAATGAGGTCTACTGGAGATGTGTATGTGGTGCAACCACAAGAAAGTGTGGTTGTAGGAGAGGAAGAGAAACCAAGCCGGTTCATGGTTACAGCAGAAAAAGAGAAGGATGTTTTGTACAGCAACTCAAAGTGTATGGGGTTTTCAGCAGCGGGTCACTAGAACTCAAACAGTCTGTGAAAGTTGAAACTGAGCAGTGTGAACTGCAGAGTTCTCTGGATAAAATTCAAGGTACGTTGGGGCTGTGTGAATTGCGGAGTTCTCTGGTTAAAGTGAACCTGATAATGCTGCTCCAAGTTCTACAATTGATGTTGTTGTTGATTAAAGGATTAAACGCTGCTTTGGTTGTTAGTTTAATAAAGGAAAATTCCTATTGACTCCCAGGGGTTCGAACTGTCTTATACAGTAAAGTTATGAATGTTGTGATAATTTGTAACGCTTGTACTCCCACATAAGTTGTCAGGATCAGCTCATACGAATCAAAGTAATCTATCATGTCAATGGAAATAATCAGATGGATGGAAAGAAAAAGATTTAGGACAGATATACAGTGTGATAATTTCCTAGTTCGCAGGTTATTCAAGAGGCAGAGAGTGTGGAAGGGTGTTCAGATTATCCGTGGGTGGATTCCAAATAATCTAATAGCTTATTGTGTTTGTTTTTAACACGTTAGTAGTTGGGTTGGCCAGAACATTTGAAACTGAACTAATGGTGATGAATGAAGTGAGTGAAATCAGTGGCTAACTAAGATACGTAAATAATTTACTTACTTTTGAACAATTTGATCATCCTTTCTCCAACTCTTCCTTTTCCTTCTAGTCTCCTCAAGCTTCTCTCCCTTTCCTTTGTTTGCAAATGACCTTTTCCTTCTAGTCTCCCCAATCTTCTCTCCCTTCCCTTTGTTTGCAGATGGCCTTTTTCCTTCTAGTCTCCCCAAGCTTCTCTCCCTTCCCTTTGTTTGCAGATGGTCTTTTCCTTGTAGTCTCCCCAAGCCTCTCTCCCTTCCCTTTGTTTGCAGATGCCCTTTTGCCTTCTAGTCTCCTCCAAACTTCTGTCCCTTTCCTTTGTTTGCAGATGGGAAAAAGAGTTTGGTTGAATGTATAGCACCCCATCTTCGTTTCGTTAATTGCATAGCACGGAAGAAGAAAAAAAAGAGGCGGGAAAGAAATATGAGCAACAGAACCCAAAAACGGAAAAAGAAGAAGGGGGAGGAGAGATGGGATTTGAAACCTTACGTCATATATTCTTTCTCTGAACCCTCTCACCAAAATTCGGTCTTTCCCCAGACTGGGCCAATCTCTTCTCCTTCTCCACCCAAAAATTATTCGCGTGTGGAGGAAACACCGGTGGGATGCTTCAAATTGAATTCGGATGCTGGGTGCGCTTGCGATGAAGGAAGACGCTAACGGCAGGCCCATCGAAGCTGAGGCAAAAACCATCTGCATGAGGTTGAAGGAGGCTAATCGCCGGGGATGGAGTCGAATCGGACTCCCAAGCTTTAATAACGAAATTGGACAGGAAGGAAGAAGATCAAAGTGTATGGGGGTTTGCTTGCATGAGATTCTTTCACGAACGAGGGTGAAGTGGTGTTTTGCTAGGAGACATGGTGTCACAAATCTTATAAAATATTAAGTTTAACTAGGTCCAGCAGTCCCATGACCAGCTTTAGCCTTTACTGTCCATCGCCCCAAGATATAATGAGGTGGCAAATTAAGAACATTCGTCACTCACAGTGAACACTGTCAAAACATGTCTGCACAGTACGCCTGAATACTCAAACATTTGGCAGCTGCAGTTGGCTATCATATCTCCACTAGATAGATCTTCATAACACGATTTGGTTCACCAACAGAGTTCCTAATCCCACGATTCTCTTGTGGCAGTCGGTTTCCATCCATGGAAACATACATTACACCACCCGGTGGTTGGTTTCAGACTCAGTCGAGACGGGTTTTGCAATACCAGCAAAATGCCTTTTGTGCCTGAGGTACCCAAGTTTGGTGGCACCCATTATTAGTCGCCTGATGTTTGCTGGGACCGCTATTCGTCGACTGAAGTTTGGTCCGACCGTCATCAGAGGAATGAGTATCATCTTTCACGATACTGACCTCTTCTTAGGGAATGATTGAAGTTATCAACAATGATCATACAAAAATATTTAACATAATAAATCTTTCATATTGTTTGAATTTTATTATATCGTGTTACGAACGTGATCTTTTTGTTACGTTATTTGTGATCATTTTGTTAAGTCCAAAACTATGTGAACATTTTGATAAATTAGCCTCTAATCACGGTGGTAAAGATGAACCCAAACTAAAAATCCGTAAATATTACTAGTTTTATACCCGGCCGTCGGTCGGTCGGTCGGGTGAGTTAATTTCTATTTATACATGATAGGATTTTATTGTACGTTTGATATAGTTATGATACTCAGACTCAATGACAAGGTAAACCAAAAAAATTTAGGCTTTTTCTACTTACGTTTGGGCCAAGTACTAAAGACACACTTGTTGTGAACAGATTTGAGAATGTGTACAGTGATTAACATAGGAAGAAGTCATCACAACAGGGAGTCGAAAACATTATGAAGACAGAAAACTTGAAAGCCACAATTATGCAGGTACCTCGTAAATGTAAGGGAGAGCAAGGCGTCTTCAACTTCAAGGCAGCCTGAGAAGATGAAATTCAGCTCCTGTCCTGTGTCACCTACTACAGACAATAGTTTTTAGTTTATACGAACTAGAATGAAAGCAAATCAAAAGGGTTTTGTTGTGGAGTGAAAGTTATTCGTTGGTACTGTAATGCAGCTGCTGACTTAATTTTTCTTAATAATGTGGAAGCTGCCAACTTTAAGTAAAAGGAAATCATTATATTTTTTTGCATTGCTATCCCGCACCTGGTCATACATTAACCAAAAGTTGATTTGAGGAAATCTAACTAAATAGACCAAGTAAATGGAAATGATTGGTGTCTTCCAATTGAATTATTCATACACCATGATCAAACACAAAGGTTAAGAACGAAAAATAAACAATACATGTAAAGAAGAGAACCATGGCTTCTATCAGACATCTAACCTTGGAATACCATCACAATATTTATTATCATGAGGTCATGAGTTGGTTGCTTATTCATAGTCACCTAATTCGACCATCATATCATCAGTTAGAAAATCTTGTACACAGAAACAGACATAGAGTCAGTTAATTCCTCAAATTCTCAGCTGCAAGAGAAGATTGTATATCGGTAAACATGGGCCAAGATCCACAATCTGATTTCAAAGACTCCATCACCTTTCACAACCTACTCCGATGAGTACCATTCAACTCGACACATGATATTGGAACACTTGTTCCAACTTATCTACTCCTAACTCTTTAGTCTCTTATGAAAGAATAACTGACTAGTACTATAAGCACATGGGCAAAAACATGATAAAAGCGCTAAGTGTAAATATACAACACAACCAGCATCACGTTAAATCAGCGTCATGGCATGCAATTAACACAGTAGATTGAAGCAACCCCGTCAGGAATATGTGCCATCATCACAAACGCAACATCTTAGTCATTGTCAAGAACTTCCAACTCTTTCTCAGCATAGAATCCGACAATTTTGCTGCCTCCACTCTTTTTGTTATCAACTTGGCCCCATTTTGTGTAGGCAACCAGGCAACCTTAGACCCTGCATACCTTGGCAAGAAAGAGTGATACGAACGCGATGGAAATTTGTTAATGGATGAACCAACAAGCAAAGATGATTCAACGTTTTTGATCGACATGATTGCCATTGAGGCTCTGGTTGCTTGCTTCTCCTGCACAACAAAACAAGATGAACCAACAAGCAAAGATGTTTATACTAACTGAATAGAGGTAGTAGGAAGATTTTTCTTTTGGTGAACAGTTAGTAAGGCTTAAACCAACATGGTTGTTCATATTTTTTATGGATGAAGATAGTAGAAAGATTTCACGAGACCTTCACACATGAAGTTGTCTGCAGATGTGACACAAATGACAATAGATTTCCTTCTTCAAACCCGGTTCTGCTGACACCTGCTTTGCTGGAGAAACTAAGACAACACACACCAAATAAACTATTAGCAACAACAGAAAGGCAATTGCAACAGTTAATAGTAAGGATTAATGATTCAACTTGACAATAGCCATAAACCCTATCAGACTGTAATCTTTAAGAGAAGATAGCTAAATGGTGTCACATATACTCCAGCAACGATGCTGTCATATAAGCAGTATAGGTTGGATTTATATCCTGCTGAAACCACCACCTCTATCATGAATCGAAGGGGAAAAGATAGATAGGAATATGAAGGCGTACCACTCCAAGTGATCCACGCAGACATCCTCAGGTGTTAATTTAAATCCCGAGTCTTTAAGCAAGGAAGCAACATCATCTACAATCATTTTCAAGTCCATATGTTCCTGAATTACCTGCAGGAAGAAGCCACAAATCCAGAAGAAAACACAATAAGCCTAAGTACCAAAGTACATTCAAAACAGGAAAAACATATATAAGATTGTTAGGCCACAAGTTCATTGAAGTGCATTCAACTTGATGATCACAGATTCACAGTCACGGGAGATATCATCTTTGACAATCCCATAAAATCTGGATACTACTTAGCAAACAAAAAGGGCAAGAGAGACACACACCTTATATCTTGGAGAGTGAAGATACCTATGAATACGTTGTGAAGAGTTTTCGAATATCCGTGTTAATAAAAATGCAGAAGCCAATATTGATTTTTTCTCCTTTAAAATTTGAACAGTAGCATTGTCCTTGCTCTTTCCTGTTAAGCTGATTTCCTCATCGAGCACTCTCCTCAAAGCATGCAGTAAAAAGTCATAAAATGTTGGGGTATAATCCTTATGATCCATATCCATAATACGGTAAGACATTTGCGGACTAAGTGGATGGTCAAACTGTAGAAGAACTCGTACGGCCATTAAAGCAGCAGTGAACTCAGCAATTCGCCTCTCTGTGATGTAGATAAAGCATAATTTTGCAAGATAGATGGGGTGGATGACTTTTGTAGGCTTACCATACCCGAGCTCCAACTGCAACATGCAATGCATCTTTTCTACCTGTACATGTTGCCAAAATCATATCACAAATTCACAATTGGGGGAAAACATATGAATGAGAAAGACAACCATCCTGAGAGGAAAAAAGAAAAACAAACCAAGTCGGGAAGACAAAATATGAAAATCAACTTGAAAGAGGACACTTGGGAGCTCAATTCCTTAAGACAAGGATGATAGTTGCTGCACAACACCAAGAAGAGACATTGGTGAATCATACACATTCGCGGATGGTACTCTAGCCCCAAATTCAGAATAGAACTTTACAAGTTTTGCTAAGAATGCACAATAAAACCAAGAAGCAACGAGCAGAAAATACCATAACTTCTCGATAGCCCTGCTGAATTCCGAATCAAGAATTTCACTTCTGTTGACACCAGCAGGTTGAATCAAAAAGGCCAAAGGCCCTCTTGGCCTTCATTATACAAAAACCGAGTTAACTTGGAGGAATAAGTCATCAGTACATAGTTACACCAAAGAGAGCTATGTAGACAAACAACAAGGGAGTTGAGCCCTCAACGGATACGCCATATATAAGAACTCAATGCAGGCGTTGGTCGAGTGCTGCCATAGCTAGGTTGCGGTATCATAGATATAGGCTGCGGGGATACAGATAGTTACCCGTGAGAGGGCTTCCTGCTATGGTTGAGCGGTCCGCTAGGGCTGTCGAGGCAACCAAAAAGGAGGGAAAAGAACCAAGACACCGTTACAAAGAACACATAAAATAAGAGAGAAAGGCAGGAAGACAAACAAAGAAAGATAAGAGGCTGGGATAGTTAGTTACTATGGATAGTTGATCTTGGAATCTTGGGTAGATATGATAGGGCTGTCAAGGCAAAGAACACACAAAGACAGAGATTATTATGTCGTAAAGATGGAAACTTTAATAACAACAACACAGTAGAAGCTGGTGGGTGTGTTGGGTGGGGTGGGGGTGAGGCATATGACTGAACAAATACCAATTCAGAGAAGATAAAGGGATCCCAGCTCCTTCCAAGATAGTCTGGACCTGTTGAGCAATTGGGGAATTCGAAAGATGCTGTTTTTCTTTTTCTAGCAGCATTGGAATTAAGTTAGACAATTGAGTACCAGCCCTCTGAAAGACTTGGAGTAATAGCAGGGAAGAGGTGAGGATTGACCGCTTTTCCTCTAAAGACTTGGACAACTGGGGATCGTTGCAATCGCTGCAGCACCAGATGTCGGCCACCACGAAAGCAAGCTGAGCGGTAAGGAAATCGCGAAGGGAGTGGTATTTCAAAAGTGAAGTTCCGATCTCCGAACGTAAAGTTAGGAAATGCAAGAATGTTGGGGAAAGAACTCGGTCAGGGACTGCGAGGAGAAGCCAGAGCAACTTGGCCGCTTGGCCATTCCTTGCATACTCATAGGTTTTCATCTCCAAACCCGTGTCGTTGGCGCGCCCGAGCAGCTTCACCGTGTGCCACCAGTTGCCAGCGTCTGAGATCCATTCCGGCAGCCAGAGGATCAAATCCGAGAGGAGGAGGCCGCTTCGGCTTTCCTCCGCCTTCTTGTTCCACTCATCCCAACTGGCCTCTAGCGCGTAGTCGATGGCTCCCGTTTCGAGCTTATGGGGTCTAAAGCTCAAACAACTAAGGCTCGGAGAAACCCCGTGGCGGATAAACAACTCGATCGCCTCGTGAAACCCGAACTTAGCAGCATAATGCAAGGGCTGCAGGCAGTTTTTCGCCCTGTGGCGGCGGAGATCCAACAGCTGGTTGTGAGCAATTTTACGCTCCAGAAGCGCGGTCACGCAACCAATTGCTCTCGACTCTAACAACTTTGCGACAACCTGAGGAGGGCAGCGTTTGCATTTAGGATCCAAACTCGCCAAAAATGCTTCCACGTCATCCGCTTCCATCGCCTCCTTCTTCACCATGTCAGATTTTTTATACAGACTGCAACCGTAAAAGCCAGAGGAGATGATGAGCGAGAGAGAGAGAGAGGCGGCGGAAGCAGAAACAGAAGCTGTGCCTTCCTCTTCAAGGATTTATTCAGCGGTAATAAAGAAGCCTCCCATCCCATGTAATAAAGGAAACCCTAGTTCAACTGTTCTCTCCTCTGCTTGGCGTGAGAAAGAAAGGAGCTGCAGTCAGGTAGGAAGGATGAGATTAGCTGGCTGACAATGGCTGTGATCCATCTATGCACCTCCCTTTGTTTCCCTTCCTAAATCCTAACTACTGAACTCATATTTGATGTTGTTGAGGCTTGAGAGAGAGGGGGGTTCTATGGGGCGGTCGAGCTGTTTTTGCGACTTGGGGTTCCTCCCAGTGACAGGGTACCAACACATTATCCTCAAGGACCTCAACAGCACCTTCTTTCCACTCAATACCAGGAAAACTTATGGTTCGATACATATGACCAATTTCAGCTCCTCAACAAAATTAAATCATTTTGGTAAATTTATTTTATTATAATATGTGTTTTTTATGAATGATTTGATATTATGCGTAATCAAAATATGTTGTTAATGTTCACCAATTAAAAAAAAAATTGTTGTTAGTGTGACCTGATACACCCCTACACATAAGAAAACCAATACAAAAAACATTTTTGTTCCACAGAATAATATGAAAATAAATATTAAAAGAAAAAGGCCATATGAAACTTATTGCGAAGCAACATAAGGATACTAACCAGCGGTTCATGAAAGAGAAAAATAGAGGATGGAGAAAAATTTGTAAGGAATCATAATTTTTCATTGTTCCCAAGTTTTGCTACACTACATTGGAGTGATTATTTGAGAGTGTAGCATTGCCTTCCACAAAATTTGAGGTGAAAACAAATTTTTACCTCTTATTTTATCTCTTTCCCCCTCTTTTTCCTCTACAAAATTAAACATCACTTTTCCTTCATTATATCATTACCTTCTAATTTTCATGTCTTTAAATTTTCTTTCCACTCCCTAATTTTCTCTCCCTCTTTCATGAACGGAACATAAAGTAAAAAAAATAGGGAATTTCTTCATTGAGTCCACATTTGACCTCAATCTTCACTTGCTTCATCAACCAATTTGTACCCTTTGTAGCACATGCATGAGCAATGAACCTCTCTCTCTCTCCATATCCAATATAAAAGATAAGAGGGAGCATCAAACCATATATCCACCTTGACATTGGGGGAATCGTCCTCAAAAGTGTTAATATCCCGTCTTACTTCAGTAAACCAACAACTACTAGGGGAGTGAGTAGTGAGGTGACTGATCAACCTCCTAAATACATCTCTGAAGAATAAATGGTCTCTCTGATTTTAGAGGAATGTCTCCGAAACACAATCAATAAAACATGTATATCCCCATTTCAACAATTAGGTTGTATGTGATTTTGCTTTATCATCCACATCACAAACCCATAGCTTATGCGGCTATACCAATCAACCTTGTACTGATTTGCCCTAAGTTGCTTCCAAACCTTCTTCGTATAGTAGTTTGTTAAATTAACATTGGGGTAAGCAGAAACAATAACTTTGCACTCCCGTTTTGTACTCCCTACTGTTACAAATTATCCAAACAGGTGCAAATGTGTTGGAAACTGTGTTTACCCCTCCCATTTGCACTGATATGATTCCATTTGGATTAATATATAAGTCAACCATGTGTGATCAAGAAACCATCTCAAGCTCTAACAACGATCCTGATTTTTGTCTAAGTTCTTTTACCGTTGCAGGGCACCCACTTTGGAGGCTCGAATCTTTCAGTCTATTTGACGAAAGCTCACGCTTGATGGTTTGCATTGAAGCTGGAGAGATTGTCTACGCCATGGGGTGCTTGGAGGGTCGAGGCAAAGCTCAGAAGGCCGCTTTTCAAGCTTCCCAAAGTGTTAGCTCAAAATCGGGAAGCTGTCCAAAATTGTCCAAGTATGGGAGCCAGTTCGGGACGACGCTTTTCAAGATTGTCTATGTTTTCTACATTAGACAGAGCTTCACTCTGTCATTTGCAGTCGTTAAATAACCCTAACTCTAGAACGAAGGATCGGGTGTCATATGCAATTCTTCACTATTGACCCTACTTTACGCTTCAAGGCAACATGACATGCCCACATGACATCCCTTTTTGGTGTTTTTAGGCGTTAAATTTTGATATCTGATTTGCTGGGAGGGAGTCAGAAATTTTGAGAATTCTATTTGATTTTTTTTGTTGAAAACTATTCACTTGATTTAGAAAATTTGTTATTTTAAATTTTAATATAGCCCAATTAGTATTATTAATCCGCAAGTTTTACTTAAGGGTCCCAGTGGGTTGGGAGCAAGTCTACTGTAAGTTCTCTACAGCCTACGCGGATCACCATCCGTTACATTAGTTCTGATGATCTCAGCTGTCCATTCAGCCTAAACTATGGGACGTTTCACGGTGCTTTTTTCCTCTCCGATCTCCTGCGTAGTTTGGCTGGCGGCTGTCCAAGTTTGGTAAATGGGAAGGAGTAGAGGAATTGGATCAGATGAAAGGAGTATCGGGGGAGATCCATCTTCTCCAGTGTCCCATTTTCCCCCTCTTTCGACCAGTCTGGCGGCTCATCGAGAAGAGAAGATAAGCCTCACATGCTAACTAGACAATTCGAGCCGATTGCGATATAGATGAATGCAATTTCTCCATTGATCAACCAGGAGAAAGAGAAGAGATAAATCGGTAATGTTAAAGCGAAGACAGAGATGAATGCAATAGGTATGGACTGGTGATTGGAGGGCCATTTTCAATTTCTTCTCTCAAAGACACCAGTGATTTAACCACTGTTTCTGGGTTCAATCAAAATACATGGGCAAAGAGGAGTGCATGTTGGTGGAACTATATTTGGGATTTATAGACAACAACGATAGAAAGCAAAGTACAGTGAGTGAGACAGGGAGGAGAAGGAAGACATGTTCTTTGCCACGTGTTATTCATCTTCTCCACGTGTAAAGAGAAGGGTCTTTGTGAGAATAATGATTAATGGAATACAACTTAACACGAAAATGGGGGTTTGTGGATTAATATCTAATAGAGACCAAATTTGTTGAGATTATTAATAGGCAACTTGGAAGAGAAAAAAACATGTTTGAATGGTATCTCTTCATGTCGGTGTAATTATACTCTGTGTTTATATGTTTACAACATGGACAATTCCAATTATGTATTGAATTGAATTTGTTATAGCTATTCTCCTTCCTTTCCCTTTCAATATGAGTTCCAAATTTATATTGATGATGTTAAAAAGGCTCTCGTTAAAATTCAAAGTCTATTTTCTCGCACATATTTCAACAATCACTAGGCGATTTGACAAGTGTAATATGCTATATCACATCAAAGAAATGTCTATAATGGTGGAAGAAAAACTTACTTAATTAGTTCACTTATTATTAATTAAATATAAATACCAATTATCCTAACTACTAAATGATTAGGGAAGCATTAAGTATTATAAAGCTTTCACTTTTTGACATATAAAACCATGTATCCTAATTTATTTCAATTGCGAATAATATATCAAACAAAGTACATTGATGACAAATCTCGAAATCCTTCAAAATGGTATTCGACTTTTAAGAAAATTCATAAAAATAATGTCATCAATTTCAAAATGCAATCAAATTATCAGTATATTCAAATTCAATCACGTACAACTCAATTATATTTTTGACCGCTACCCGCCGCAAAGCGCGGGCCAATTTTCTAGTTATACATTATACATATACACAAACGACCCCTTAAAGCTAGTATATAAAAACAAGTTTTCTTTCATTTCTTTTCTTTTCCATTATTGCGACCCGAGCCTCTCCATTACCTTAGGGGTCGTTTGGATGGATCAATTTAGAAATGAGTCAATTTGATCAATTGTCTCGTTTATAAACGAGGCAATTAAAACGAGTCAATTCGAATTACCTGCCTCTACCCTAGGTAATTGAAATTGACAAAAAACAGAACAATTCAAAATACCTCAAGCAGATTGATCCATTCAAATATTTTGCTGGCAAATAAGACAATTTGGTACGAGACAATTGTATCAAATTGATATGGCTAAATTACACGTTTGGTCACTCGAATTATACAAAATTTTCACATTTGCCACCCGAATTATTTTTCTTTCTTATTCGCTACTAACTTTATGAATCGTTTCACCGTTAGTCACCAGCCGTTACACTCCGTTAAATTTGTCCTACGTGGCAGTCAACTATAAAGTTTGACCGTTAACTAGATGACATGGCAATTAAAAAAATATAAAAAAATATTATTTGTCCAGCTCATGATTCTAATCGCATATGATTTATCATATTACTTATTTAATAACAATTAATTAAATTACAAAAATAAATAATATGATAAATTAATTGCCATCTCCGACATCACCACATTCTGACTCGCGGTTGCGACGACCACAATGACCCTTCCAGCGAGTTGAATAGGCTTGAGTAGTAGTGCAGCGCGCCCATGAACCTGTCCACGAACACCGGCCCATTGCGATTCGCTTCCTGCTCCACCACCGTCACGAACTCACGATCGTCGGCTTCATCACCTCGATTTTCGACAGCACCTTGTCCATCCCGGCGCTCCGGCCAAGGAGGTGGTGGAGCTCGAACACCGAGTTCTACGCCATTGTCTCCCGTCGGTCGGGCACAAATCCAGCATCTCGGGCTCCAGATATGACAAGTTGTTGGCCACAAACCCTCGGAATTTGAATTCCACGCCGATCGTCTCTGCCAGATGCGCCAGTTTCCACCCAACCTGCTGTAAATACCAAATTGTCGTTGTTGTTGTTGTTGGGCTGGGGTGGCCTGATTCCGGTCAATCGGAAGGTCGGCGGCTCACCGGCCATAATATTATTTATTTTTGTAATTTAATTATTATTTTTTAAATAAGTAATATGATAAATCATATACACAAAGAATGGAATGATGAGCTGGACAAATAAAATTATTTATTCTTTTTTTAATTTCCACATCATCTAGTTAATGGTCAAACTTGTAGTTGACTGCCACGTATGACAAATTTAACGGAGTGTAACGGTCGGTGACTAACGATGAAACGATTCATAAAGTTAGTGGTGAATAAGAAAGAAAAGTAATTCGGGTGACAAACGTGAAAGATTTATATAATTCGAGTGACCAAATGTATAATTTAGCCAAATTAATATGTTACAATTTCCCATCCAAACGACACCTATTTCCCTCCTCTCCCTCGCTGTGGCCGCTGCCAAGCTCCGTCACTTCTTCTTGCTCAGTGTACGCTCATGGCTTCTCTCGACGCTTATTCTTCTTACTCTTCCTCAGTTTTCATCTCCGGTCTCCGTTCATTACCTAATCAATTGCAGACATGGAATCTTTTCTACCTCAAGTGCCCCTCCTCTCGTCGTTATCCATCCTCCCCTTCCCCTTTCTCCACCCTCACCTCTTCCCTCCACGTCCCAGCCGCCCTTGCCGCCGCCCCTTCCCCTGCTCGATTACGTCCCCGCGCCGATAGCATCGACCTCGACAACGACCCAATCTCCCTCCTCCATCTCAGAATTCGCCGCTACCACACCAGCCGGGATTCCTCCTCCAGACCTGCCATGGACTCCAAGGAGGCCGATAAATACATTCAGCTGGTGAAGGAGCAGCAGCAGAGAGGTTTGCAGAAGTTGAAGGGAGAAAGGCAGTCCAAATCCAACTCTGACGCCGGAGGATTTAGCTATAAGGTCGACCCCTACACACTCTGTCCCGGAGACTACGTCGTCCACAGGAAGGTCGGTATTGGGAAGTTTGTCGCCATCAAGTTCGATATCCCTAGCCCTTCTTCTCCGCCCATCGAGTATGTCTTCATCGAATACGCTGATGGCATGGCCAAGCTCCCTCTTCACCAGGCCTCTCGCTTGCTTTATCGTTACAATCTGTAGGTATTCCTTCCCTTGAATTACTCCCCTTCTCTTGCTTGTTGGTTGCATGGGAAGCTCTGTGGTTTCCTTTTAAGTCCCCATTTGAACTGAATTTCTCATCCTATCCTCGTAATGCTGCTTTTCCAGCCCCAACGAAACGAAAAGACCTCGGGCGCTGAGCAAATTGAGCGACCCAGGTGCGTGGGAGAAGAGAAAGACCAAAGGTAAGGTTGCAATCCAGAGAATGGTTGTTGACTTGATGGAGTTGTATTTGCACCGGCTAAAGCAAAGACGGCCTCCTTACCCGAAGAATGCTGCCGTGGCTGAGTTTGAAGCTCATTTTCCTTATGAACCCACGCCTGATCAGAAACTGGTAATGGTTTAGCAGTGTAAATCTGCACTTAATTTTCAACTTACATTGTTTCAAGTTGAGTTTACATAGAGTTGATAATCTTACAACTACCGTTCTGTCTTGCCTATTCGTGTAATACGAGATTTCTTCATGATCATGGTTAGTATGCTTGCATTTTGCACTTCATTCATCTTCCTGTCACCACTTGCAACTCATTCCATTTTCCTTGTTAGCTTTGGAAGTTGAATTTCTCAATTGTTCACGAGTTAGATACATGTTCCAGGCTTTCCGTGATGTTGAGAGGGATCTAACTGAGAGGCAAACTCCAATGGACAGATTGATATGTGGGGACGTTGGTTTTGGGAAAACAGAAGTTGCTTTGCGTGCCATCTTCTGTGTTATCTCGGCAGGAAAGCAAGCAATGGTTTTAGCACCAACAATTGTCCTGGCCAAGCAACACTATGATGTAATTTCAGAACGTTTTTCTAAGTATCCTGATGTCAAGGTCGGACTTCTTAGTCGGTTTCAGGTATAAGCTTCCTATATCTCTTGGCCCTTCCATAGGTTTGTAGCCTGTTAGGAGCTCGTATTTCACTCAAGCGAAGTTCTTTTTGAAAATGTAAATTCAAAGGTGTCATCTGAAACTATATTTTTCGTTCTTAAGCTCAGACAATATGTTATTTGTCTGGCTTCATGCATGCCTTCATGTTCAGTTGTTGGACTACTTATTCCCGATCGCCGGTGTCAGCATAAGATTGACTTACACTTTATCAACTGCATACACTTTACCAAATGCAGACCAGAGCAGAAAAGGAAACTTATCTGGAAATGATCAAACATGGTGATTTGGACATAATTGTTGGGACTCACTCACTTCTTGGAAGCCGTGTTGTGTATAACAAGTTGGGTCTTCTTGTTGTTGATGAAGAACAGGTTTGTCTCTGGAACCCTTGTTGATCGTGTTATTATTTGGACATATGTTGATCATTAAATGTGGAGTATCACTTGCTGTAACTAATCAAAGTAGAAAGATATGCACGTACATGTAGACTGCAATTCCATATGTCCTGTAAGATTCTTGCATTTTGCAAGCTTACTCCTGCAGACTTGTATGTTATGGGTATGTATAGATCTTATGAGCGATAGTAATATGGTTCTGTTGTGATGACGTGAGAGGAATGAGGGAACATATGCAAAGTCTGGTTGTAACCTATAAACTCTATTGTTCTGTCCTCTTTTCCTGTTGTTGTAGGTCAGGTGAGGTTCATAAGGCCTTGAACGAGCATGCCCATATCCATGCTTGAAGTGCAAACACTAATTTAATGTCCATTTTCTTCCAGAGGTTTGGTGTCAAACAAAAGGAGAGGATAGCCTCTTTCAAAACTTCTGTTGATGTGCTTACTCTCTCAGCAACTCCAATACCTCGAACTCTTTATTTAGCACTCACCGGATTCCGTGATGCAAGGTATTATTCCAGTTTATGCATAGGAGTATTAGTGTTAGGCTATAAGTATTTTACATGAATTAGCTTTTTAAGATTTAATATATAACATATGTAAGTATCTTTGGAGGAATTCAGATCGTTAAGATATGTGGCACTATATAGTAAAATTAGCTATCATTGTAGGCTAGATGAAGTAATAGGAGATTGAATTGCTGTTAATTTGGATTTTGCTGTATGGGAAATGATAATTGTTCAAGGCAGCATCTTAGGTTAGAGAAGGACATGGACTTGTCCTCCTCCTGTTCAAACTGATTTCTCGATTGGTGGTTACTTTCTGGAAACTGCAATCACACATCAAGATTACAAATTAGCTCTTATTCTCTCTTTTTTTTTCCTAACTATGAAACATACACCTGGTTTCAGTTTAATTTCAACGCCACCACCTGAAAGGGTTCCTATAAAGACCCATTTGTCTCCATACAACAAAGAGAAGGTAGCATTGGCAGTAAAAAATGAGTTGGACCGGGGAGGCCAAGTGTTTTATGTCTTGCCACGTATTAAAGGTATTATTTGGAGTTACTTGTTTTTGGAATGCTGTTCTGATTTGCAGTTTGGACTAGCATATTACTGATAACATGATTTGGTTGTGTAAACGCATCTGTGTTGATTTTGGGTGTGAAAGCTCAATGTCCACAACTTAGCTAGTCTTGCGCATTAATCAAATTCAACAGGTTTATTTTTTATGCACTTGCTGATGTAAAAGTCAGTACTAGGATTACAGCGAGAGGGCTGAAAGAACCTCTAAGAGTCTAAGTGTCTCATTATGCATAATATGTTCAGTATTTCTTTCCTTGTTAGCTAGTATCTATTTGATTGGTCTTTACATAATTTTGGCGTAACAGGACTGGAACAAGTAAACGTCTTGTTGAACAATGATTTAGTTTATTCTTCTGTAATATTTGTTCGAGTTTTGATATTTTATATGGTTCTTGGGCTGACAGGACTAGAAGAAGTTAAAGATTTCCTTGAACATTCATTTCCTGATGTCGAAATAGCCATTGCACACGGGAAGGTAAGTTTGTCTCCGTTAATATTATGTTTTTTCATAGCTCTTATGTACTCTACGAGTTAATTAGGTTAGGTCATATAGCCCAGAGCTGACTGAGCTACCTTGTTTCTCGTGTTGCTTGATTCCTTCTGCTACCACCTTTAATGGCATACATACAACATGAATTAGCATTTGTACTTGTCCCCTATGCAGCTTGATTCCTTCTGTGATACTACACTTTGATTCTCATTCATGTTACTATTGCTCCTTTGTAGCAATACTCAAAGCAACTTGAGGACACCATGGAGAAATTTGCGCTAGGTGAAATAAAGATTCTCATATGTACCAATATAGTAGAAAGTGGGCTTGATATTCAGAATGCAAATACCATCATAATTCAAGATGTTCAGCAATTTGGACTGGCACAACTGTATCAGGTTCCACTCCGACAACCTTGTACATTTTTATGTTCTCGAGTTCAATTATTGTTGCTGACCAATGGCCAGACCATTTCTCGGAATATTGCCATGTTTTTTTCCTTCTAAAATGCTTGTTAATATCTTCCATGTCAGCTTAAGCAATGGCTGATGCATGTGTAACACGATTATTCAATGAACCAATTGTCTTTCATCTCCAATCCATTAGACCCAACTTGTCATACTTTGCATATTGATTGCATCTCCTTGGTGTAGAAGTACATGTTGCTACATTTCTTTTCCCCTGCTACATCTATTCAGGTTACATGAACCCTATCAATCTACAAAATCTTAGATACTCAGGTTTCATTGCCATTGAAGTTTTTCAATGTTATCACTGAAGTTACGTGGAAGAGTGGGCCGGGCAGATAAGGAAGCTCATGCTTACCTATTTTATCCCGACAAATCATTCCTAACTGATCAAGCCCTGGTATGTTATATGATTTCCTCAGCATCCGGGTTATGCCTACCATTGAAATTTTCGTGTGAACCTTGTAATCCTTTTAATTGTTCAGGAGAGACTGCAAGCAATGGAAGAATGCCGAGAACTTGGACAGGGTTTCCAAATTGCTGAAAGAGACATGGGTATAAGAGGCTTTGGGACAATCTTTGGTGAGCAACAAACTGGGGATGTGGGGAATGTTGGCATTGATCTCTTCTTTGAAATGCTTTTCGAGAGCTTGTCCAGGGTATATTAGTTGGCCGCCTTCATTAGATCTTATTGTACTATGAATATGATGCTCTTTTCGGGCTTTTTTGTCTCCTATTTTCTTTATGCCTGTGGACTTGCTCTCTATGTGGCATAATTTTGCTCAGTGATCTAATAATAGACTGACAAGAGGTTGTCCTCTATAGAACGATTATCCAATACTCTGGGCTATCTGTTAGTTTTGCTGTTTTTGTTCATTTCTCCTCCACTCTCTGCTTTGAACTTAACAATCATCCCTGAACTTTATACAGGTTGAAGAGCACTGTGTGGTATCAGTTCCTTACAATTCTGTTGAGGTAATTACTGCATTCAGGCCTTTAACTGCTCGACGTTGAATTGACAAAATGAGAATTCTGAGTGATCAAAAATTAACCTATTTATATAGTATTACTTGACGAAGTTGTTAACCATGCCACTCCTTTGCCTCTTATCTGCTTGCAGATTGATCTGAATGTAAATCCCCATCTTTCTTCCGAATACATAAATTATCTGGAGAACCCCATTAAAATTATTGGTGAAGCAGAGAAAGCTGCAGAGAAAGACATTTGGAGTCTGGTACAGTTCACAGAGAATTTGAGGCGCCAATATGGAAAAGAGCCCCACACCATGGAAATTTTACTGAAGAAACTATATGTGAGGAGAATGGCTGCAGATATGGGGATAATGAGAATATATGCTTCAGGAAAGATGGTTGGCATGAAAACAAACATGAGCAGAAGAGTTTTCAAGCTGATGACAGACTCTCTGTCTTCAAATGTGCATGGGAACTCCTTGGTCATTGAAGGAGACATAATAAAGGTAAGCTTTGCTACTGCCTGGTTGGTAATGCACATCTTGTTCCTCAAATTTTGAGTTTGTCTAAGGAGTTGTTCTTGGTCTGTGTAATATAACCGTAACCTGTCTTTTGAATGCTGTCTATATGATCAAAATCTATTCAGACTTTCGATGGAAATGAGATTCTGTCACAACCATGCTAATCCAGTCTCTTCCTACCATAACTTGCCTTTTACCCCTTGAACTTCTTTGCCTTAGTCCTGATCCATTCTAGATCTGAGGCATACGGAATGGTCTTCCGTTTAATACAGAAATATGAACTCAATAATTTTGTCCTGCTAGAATGGAATCACTAAGTTGTTATATACTGTCGTTGCTTTGTGCAGGCAGAATTACTACTGGAGCTCCCAAGTGAACAGCTGCTAAATTGGGTGTTCCAGTGCTTGTCGGAACTTCATGCGTGTCTGCCTAACCTCATAAAATACTAGATTTGCATAGGTGAACCTTAGATAGGTGGTATTCTTTGGGAGCCTGCTTATTTAGCAGGTGATTGCATCCTTGTGCGGAAGCAGATCTTGGACTTGGATGTTAGTATATGTGGAGAAGATCCAGAGGGGAAAAAGTAAAGGGATTGATAAGTAAAACATGTACATGGTACTGGCTTGGCAGAGCGTTTTGCGCGGATTTGGTTTATTATTATGAGTTCTTAGGATTAGGTGGGTCAGTTGGAGATGTCAGTGTGGGATGGCCTAGACAGTGAAGAAGAAAAACTGTTAAGGGATGGTGAAGTAGATGTGGGTTACATTAGAGTATGATTACAAGGGTGGTCCTGGATGGAGGAGACACATGACATACTGCAATTGTACTGCCTTCCATCGAAATTTTGTTTTATATTCTTAGCCAGGTATGTTGCAGGGAGAGTAGTTGTTTATTTACTACATTTATTTAGCTCAACTGGTTACCTGTGTAGATATACATATTTATATACATTATTATTTGGTTTCTGTGTGTACTTACATAGATTTTAATGCTGATGAGTGTATGTGTGGAGGTGTTGAACCTTATCTCGACAATACTAATTTGATGAAGAAATCCAGTCGATACCCAGACCCAGACCAAGACTCAGCAGCAAGTAAATGTAACGTTTGCCAGGTACGACTGCCCTCTTTTCTTGTTTTTTACTTTGGCAAGTGAAGATAGCATTGGAACTTCAGCTTAAAATAAACGTTCTTTCTTCTTTGTGAAATAATGTTTCCACCATCAGCTGCCATGCTGCATCTTTACAAAGAGAACAATGACAAGCCTATAAATGAAAAGGGAGGGGAATAGAAAATGTAATTGAGAAATAGGGAAGACAAGCAACACATGAACATCAACCGAATCATAGTCGGCGAGGGATCCATCCATATTTATTTCTCAGCAACAGAATGTGATCATTTCGCTCTCCGTGTGCAGATGTTGCAGTTTGATCAGTTCAAAGCTAGACAGTGGACTTTCAGCTTGCTCTTATCACTCATTCCCAACTTCGAGGCACCAACGGTATAAGGCCTTGTCGTTACCGCTGGGAATGCAGTAAGTTCTGTTGCGAAAAGGGTGGAAGCGACAGGACGGTTCGATGCTATGTCAAGGGAGTACTGCAGGTTCTGGGCAGTGATAAGGAGAACAAGCATTCTGAATCTCATCCATGTGGTAGAATGGAGATAGGAAGAAGCGTCTCACCAAATTTTCAGGGCAAAATGAACCCCAAATTTTCAGGTTTTGGACTCAACTGGAAGCAATCAGGTTATTTCCTTCACTGCAACAATCTAATAAGTAATAACTAATTAATGTATGAATTTATATGAAATCAGTCTCCCGCTCTTTTGGCAATTAATCAAACTGGTAGGGGACTGAAATTTATGGGAAATCAGAGGAGCGGTTACCTTGAGAATGAGATAGGAATTGAACCAGGGCCTCGTCGGTGGAAGGGAGGAGGCGGCGGAGGAAAGTGGGCTCGAGGTAGATGATGCTACTCGCGGCAATAATTGCCGCAGTGATGGGAGGGTTCAATGGCAATCTGTACTACTCGGTGGCGGAGCGAAGATGCCATCATTCTCGCTCTGCTCCATCGAGATAGGTTAGGGGATCGTGATGAATATGGAAACATGTAATTACCCACCTCCGGCTAGCTCCGATGCTGGAAAAGATTGGCGAACGGAAATGAAAGAGCATTCGTGCCGGGATCAAATAGCCGGCCTGAGCCAAGAATGTTGGGATGACGGCCTACTTCCTCAAGTTAGAAGTTCCTCTTTCACAAACCATTATTTTGAAACACTTCTCTGGAGTCTCTTATGAATTAATGATAAAAGTTTTAAGTGTAAATATACAAACAACATAGCAAGCAAAAGCCTAGAAGGAATGTGTAGCAGCATCATCACAAACGCAACACCTTAGTCATTGTCAGGAACTTCAAGCTCCTTTTCAATTTAAAAGCGGACCATTGTGCTACCTCCACTCTTTTTGTAACCAAGTTGATTCCATTTAGAGTCGGCGATTTGGCGACCTTAGACCCTTCATACCTTACCATCATTGGGAATGAGTGATATGATCGCGATGGAAGCTTGCTAATGGATGAACCAATAACCAAAGATGATCCGATGTTTCGTGCTGACATGATTGTCTTGGACACTCTGGTTGCTTGCTGCCCCTGCACTATTTAACAAGATGAACCAATAAGCAAAGATGTATATACTGAATGAAAGTAGTAGGAACATAGATAAAAGGACGATTTCACGAGACCTTAACACATGGAGTTGTCTTCAACTGTGGCACAAATGACAATGAATTTTCTTCTATATCGGTTTTGTTGACACGTGCTTTGCTCGAGAAACTAAGACAACCCACACCAAATACAATTAGCGACAACAGAAAATTGCAGCAGCGAATAGGCATAATGATTCAACTTGACAATAGCCATACATCCTATCGAACTGGGGTCTTAAGAGATGATTGGGAATGGCCAACAATCTCCTTCGTTGCATCAAAACCCCACCTAGAACTAGAGGTGGCAAACATGTTGGTTCCAAGTGCAGCGAGTCATTATTGGTATGAATAGGTGAAGCCAAAAGGCAAAAACATTCCTAATTTCACAAATAGAGAGCATGCTCGTTATGAGTCACAACGCGTGCTGTCTCGGATTTGGATCATGTTTGAACTTGGAACCACCATCCCTAATCCCTATCATGAGTCAAAAGGGAAAGATAGAAAGCAACATCAAGGCGTACCATTCCAAGTGATTGACACATCTGTCCTGGGATGTTAACACAAAACCTGAGTCTTCAAGCAAGGATGCAACATCACCTATAATCATCTTCAAATCCCTACATTCCTGAATTACCTGTGGGAAGAAGCCAAAATCCAGAAAGGAAAAACAAGAAGCCTAAGTACCAATGTGCATTTGAAACATGAATAAATATGCATTAAACTCGTTGATGACGGGAGATATCATCTTCGACACAACATACCTTATATCTTGGAGAGTGAAGATACCGATGAATACGTTCCGAAGAGTTTTCAAATATCCGTGCTAATAGAAATGCAGAAGACAGAACCGATTTTTTCTCCTTGAGAATCTGAACAGTAACATTGTCCTCACTCTTTCCTGTCAAGCTGATTTCTTCATCGAGAACTCTCCTCGAAGCATGCAGTAAAAAGTCATACAAGTTTGGGGTATACTCCATATAGTCCCCAGTATGGTAAGAAATTTGAGGACCAAGTGGATGGTCAAACTGAAGAAGGACTCGTACGGCCATTAGAGCTGCAGTGAACTCAACAATTCGCCCCTCCGTGATGTAGATAAAACATAGTTTTGCAAGATAGGTGGGGTGGAGGACTTTCGCAGGCTTACCATACCCGAGCTCCAACTGCAACATGCATTGCATCTTTTCTACCTGCATGTGTTTCCAAAATCATATTACATTTTGGAGGAAAAGAAAGATTTGAGAGACACAACTAGCCAGAGTGGAAAACAAACAAACCAACCAAGTCAGGAAGACAAAATATGAAAAGCAACTTGAAAGCTGACTCTTGGGGGTTCCAATCCTTCAGACAAGGATGATAGCTGCATCACAACACCAACAACAGACATTGGTGAATCATACACATTTGTGAATGGTACTCAAGCCCCAAATCAAGAATGGAACTTTATCATTTTTGTTAAGAATGCAGATAAAACCAACAAGTAGTTAGCAGAAAATACCATAAATTCTCTATAGCCCTGTTGAATTCCGAATCAAGAATTTCACTTCTGCACACACTGGTGGGTCGAATTAAAAAGGCCAAATACCCTGATCTTGGCCTTCAATATACAAAAGCTCGGTTAACTTGGAGGAATAATTCATTAGTACATAGTTACAACAAAGAGAGCTATAAAGACAAACAACAAGGGAGTTGAAGGCTCATATATGAGAAACTCAAGGCAGGCGTTGGTCGAGTGCTGCCATAGCTAGGCTGCTACCATAGATATAGGCTGCTGGGATAGAGATAGTTACCAGTGACCGTGCATCATATTACGGTTGGCCGGTCCGCTAGGGCTGTCGAGGCAACCAAAAGGGAGGGAAAAGAAACAACACATAGTTAAAACTTAAAACTAACATCTGAAATGAGAGATAGACATGAAGTCAAACAAAGAAAGACAGCCGTTTGGCTCGGATAGTTGATTACTATGGATAGTTAATCTCGGAATCTTGGGTGGATATGATAGGGCTGCCAAGGCAACAAAAACAGACAAAGATATAGATTATTGTATTACAAAGATTGAAACTTTATACAACAACAACAACAACAACGAAGTAGAAGGAAGTACCAGTTCAGAGAAGTTAAAGGGATCCCAGCTCCTTCTAAGATAGTCTGGACCTGTTGAGCAATTGGGGAACTGGAAAGATGCTGTTTCTCTTTTTCTAGCAAAATTGGGATTAAGTTAGACAATTGGGTGCCAGCTTTCTGAAAGACTTCAAGTAATAGCAGGGAAGAGGTGAGGATCGACCGCTTTTCCTCCAAAGACTTTATCAATTGGGGATCATCGCCATCGCTGCACCACCGGATGTCGGCGACCACGAAAGCAAGCTGAGAGGTAAGGAAATCGCGGAGGGAGTAGTCTTCCAAACGTGAATGCTGCAACTCCAAGCGTCGAGTTAGGCAATGCAAGAATGTTGGGGAGAGAACTCGATCAGGGACAGCAAAGAGAAGCCAGAGCAGCTTCGCTGCCTGGCCATTCCTTGCATACCGGAAGATTTTCATCTCCAGGTCTTTATCCTTGGCGCGTCCGAGCAGCTTTACCGTGTGCCACCAGTTGAAATTGTCGGCGCTGGAGATCCATTCCGGCAGCCAGAGGATCAAATCGGTGAGGAGGAGGGCGCCGCCGCCGCTTTGGCTTTCCTCCATCTTCTTGTTCCATTCATTGCAACTGGTCTCGAGCGCGTAGTCGATGGCACTCGTTTCAAGTTCTTTGGGTTCGAAGCTCGAAAAAACATGGTAGGGACGAACCCAATGGCGAATCAACAGCTCGATCGCCTCGTGAAACCCTAACTTAGCAGCATAATGCAGGGGCAGTTGGCAGTTCCCCACCGGTCCGCGGATATCCAACCGATTGTGAGCGATTTTCCGCTCCAAAAGTGCGGTGATGCAACCAATTGCTCTCGACTGAATCAACTTCGCCACAACCTCAGGAGGGCAGCATTTAGATTTAGGATCCAAACTCGCTAAAAATGCTTCCACATCATCCTCTTCCACCGCCTCCTTCTTCACCATGGTAATCCAATGCAGCTCCGACGATATGAGATCCGGCGCTCTGTAACGGTAGAAAGCCAGAGGAATTGAGAGAGAGAGAGAGAGAGAGGCGGCGGAGAAAGGAGATTCCTTTCTTTCCGGATTTATTTAGGTAGACAATCCCAATGAGAAGAGACTTGATTGAGGTTCACTTTCGCGGTTCTTTTTCCCTCTTCTTCTTTTTATCTGGTTTAGTCCCTGGAGTAGTCGGCTGTTTTCAATTTGAGCCGTCAAATTTTGCTTTTGTAATTCAACGCCATTTGGTCATTCCTCCAAGCAAGAAACAACTTTCATTCCTCCCTGGAAATGTCGATGGTCCTCTGGGAGGTCGATCCATGATTGGACTTATCTTCAGATACCCTCAAAGAGGTGAGCATGAGGATTAAGAGCGGAGTGAGTCGAGTCCCAATACATATCCACTGATACTAGTTAATTCTACCATCTATGGATACAGCTAAGGTGCATCAAAAGAATATTTATATGTCGTTCAGAACCATGTCATTACTCTCTTTATCACTCTTAAGAACCTCCAACTTTTCCTAGATGCATTTTCCAGCTGTTTTGTTCCATTAAGCTTTTTCACAACAAAATTTACCTTATTTGTTAAAGGTAACGATGAGGGCTTCGATCCTTCGAACCTCGAAATCGAGAATGAGTGATAAAAACGAGCTGAAAGTTTGCCAATGGGTGAAGCAACGAACGTTGATCGTTCCATGGTTCTTCTGGAAATTGTCACCGACTTTGTTGTATGCGAAAGTGGTTCAAATGATGATGATCTTCCTTCTAACTTGGTTTCGTCGATACTAGATTTGCTTGAGAAACTATGAACATACAAAAATATACAATTAGCAATATAAAAAGGCAAAATGGATCGAATCATACATAACATTTTGCACACTAATATTATCGGTTTCGAACCCTATGTCATGTATTTTATGGAATTAAAGACAAAAAACATGACAAAGTGCATACCATCTTAAGTCTTTCACACAAGTATCTTGAGATCTCAACACAAAGCCAACGCCTTTTAGCAAGGAAGCAACATCGTTTACTATCAGCTCCAAATCTCTAACTTTCTGTGGGAGCGCAAAACAATACATTCAAGGGAGAGTGACTAACTTCTATGTTTGACGATCATCAAATGAAAATGAGATTATAGATACGAAGTACACACCTTATATCTTGGTGAGTGAAGATACCAATGAATATCTTGCGCAGATGTATCAAATATCTTTATTAGTAGGAAAGCCGAAGATATCACTGATTTTTTCTCCTTGCAAATCTGAATAGAGTCATTGTCCTTAGGTTTTCCTGTTAAGCTGATTTCTTCATCAACCACTTTCATCAAAGCATGCAGTAACAATTCATATACAGTAGGGAAATGAGATTGATGAGGATGATCCACATTATTAAAGCTATTACGAGATGTTTGAGGGCGTAGTGGATAACCCAACCGAAGAAGAACTTGTGTGGCCATTAGAGCAGCTGTGAACTCAACAATTCTGCCCTCCCTAATGTAGATGAAGCATAACTCAGCAAGATACGCAGGTTGGATAATAGTTGAAGGGTTGACGTACTTGGACTCCAACGGTATCATGGATTGCATCTCTTCCACCAGGTCAGGGAGGCAAAATATGAAAAGCAACTTAAAAATTGACATTTGGGATGTCCATTCCTTCAGGTAAGGATGATGGCTGCAGAACAATGACAGAGAAATCGATCAAACAAAATCATTGGAAAGATCCTCTGCTGCATGAAGAAAAATAACAACAATTTCATGTTTGTAAGGGCACTACATAATCAAAACAATTGGTGAACACAGTGTACCATAACTTCTTGATGACCTTGTTGAAGTCTGAATCAAGGATTTTACTTTTGCAGACATGCGGTGGTCGAATCAAGAACTCCAATTCAGGGTAGTCGTCTCTTTGGGGAGTCCTACAAGGCCACCGGACCATGCAACCCAGTTAAGTTTGGGTATGCATCGAACAGAATCAGGAGAAGCCATGTATGTTGAACTTGGTTTGATATTGTTTGTCAAGGCCTCAAGGGTTACTTATTGGGATACTTACCAGCGATAGTCAGGCTCCGGCTTATAGTTCCGGTGAGCGACTCTGACCGGGCTATCAACAAACACAAGGCAAAGTACTTTAGACACATATATGCATTCTACATGGACAAAATTAACAAATTAAGTACCAACGGAGAGAAGCCATAGTAAAGCCAGCTTCCTTGAGCACAGTCTTGATTTGTTGAGCAATTGGGTAATCGGGAAGAAGGGGATACATTTGCCTCTGCTTTTCCCTTTCCCTTTCCCTTCCCTTTTCCTTTTCCTTCTCTAACATTTCCATTAAGTGACACAACTGGGGGCCAGCCCTGCGGAAGACTTCGAGCAAACGCAGGGAACAAGTGAGGCTCAACATCTTGTACCGCAAATGCCCGCGGATCGAATCAGGGCGGGGAGGACGATTGCGATCGATGGTGTGATCAATGTCAGTAGGAAAACGACGATTAGGTTCGATGGTGAAGCTAAGGCCGGTAACAAAAGCAAGCTGGGCAATAAGGAAATCGCGGAGGGACAAAGAGGCGGTTCCAAACCGCTGCTGGAGAAGGGTGTCCCTGAAGAATGTTGGGGAGAGAACTCGGTCAGGGACGACAAGCAGGAGCCAGAGCAGCTTCCCGCCTTGGCCGTTCCTTGCATACTGGAAAATCCTCATCTCCAGGATCCCCTGTTCGGTGGTGCGTGCCAGCAGCTTGACCGTGTGCCACCAATCGAAATTTTCGCTGATCCATTCGGGGAGCCAGAGCATCAAACTACAGAGCCTTTGCGGATAATTAATATCGTACCGGCCTAGCAAATCCCACTGGTCGTCACAACTGGAGTATAATGCGTAATCGATGGGAAGCCGCCCTGGTTGTCCATGACTCGGAGGAACCCCGTGGCGCAAAAACAACCCGACCGCCTCATGAAACCCCATCCAAGCAGCCGTAGATATGAGGGGTTTGTTGCAGCTAGAAAAAGCAAACAGATCCAAGCGATTGTGAGGGAGTTTGCGTTCGACAAGGGCGGTGAGGCAACCGATTGCTCCTTCCTCTAACAATTTTGACACAGTCCGACTGGGGACTGTTTCATGGTTAGGGTCCAACGACGCCAGAAAGGCTTCCACATCCTCCTCCTCCTCCTCCTCTACCTCCATAGCTGATCATAAAGATGATAAAGCACACCAAATGGTTAGTGGGTTAATGGAATTAAATAAGTAAAGGGAAGAGGTCACGACGGACACGAAGTGAATCATTCATAAACCGCAGGGAAAAGTTTGACTAACCGTAGTCCGAGAGAGGACGGAGCTTCTTTTTGTAGATGCCTGTGACGCCGTCATCAACTTCGAGTGAACTTTCCCAGATCCATTCTCTATGAGAAATTACGTGACCTCCCAACGATCTGCCACTACGGAAGCGCTTGCCGCAGTATTTGCATAGGTGCTTCAACTCATCATTGTCTTCCATGGATTCGGGATTCTGATGAGTTGATCGCTTGTGGCTGTAGCAGAAACAGAGCAACAATAATGAAACAGGGGAAGTTAGGAATGGAAAACAGGGGAGATGGATGGATCACACCAATTGTCTGCTGCTTGCAACTTCTTCCCTCTTTGATAACGAACGAGCGAGCGAGCGAGGCAGAGAAGACCGGAAGAGGGAGAGGACAGTTGGGTAAACGTGACGAGAGCCGAAAGGCGAAAGAATTTTTGTTCGGGTAGGAAACCAACGCAGGCGGCGGCGCAGAAGATTTAGTTCGTTAGTTAGTTACTTAGTTAGAGGCCTTGGCGCGTTAATTTATTCATTATCTTATTTATATAAAACTATCATTAATTCCTGGCAATAACCCGATTTCAAATTTTCAATGTGTTAATGACATAAATATTGTCGGGAGAAGATAGGGCAGTTAGCACCATCCTAATTCCTTTAATTAACATACATTAATTATAAAGTAAATCTGACGGTGATGTGCAGTGGAAGGTATATTAGGTATTTTAAAAATTTAAAATTAATTAAAAATAAAAGTTAGAAATATATTTTTTCTCTCTATAATAATGATTTGCTATGTTAAGAAATAACTGTTGAAAAAGCACTACTACTTAAATTAGTAGTGATTTAACTTAGATGTTGTTGTGATTTTATACCAGTTGTTAGGGGTTTTATTGTCATTGGTAGCTTTTTATAATTAGAAGTTAATTGTTAATATTTAGAATGAACACGAATGAAAATGAAAAGTACTATAAATTAATAAATAGTACGATAGCTATACAAAATATTTCAAATAATTATCCAATATCACTGCTAATTACAATAAAAATCACTACTCATACATATAAAACCACTACTACACAAACACTACCACCCAAAATAACTACTCAATAGAAACAATATCGGCTTTAATCCCATTCGCACAGCCAAGGATATTGAAATTCCATCAGCGCCGCCATTTCCCTTGGTTTGGAACCCTAGCAGCACCGAGCTTTCCCAAGGGGTGATAGCAGATCTATAAAGGTTCTCGTGGTGATAGTAGATCTGGCCAGCGAAGGATAACGGTGATGATGGCGGAGATGGGAGAGTTGACGTACGTCGGCTGGAGAGATGTGATGATAGTTTCTTTAGCGGATCTGGACACCAATGGAAGCACGATGTTGTCGTCGCTGCCGCTTCCGCCTAGGCGAGGCTTGATATGAAACTCGCTCGACCTCGACTGTTGGCAGAGACGAAGATGGTGGAAAGGCTAACGAAGTAGGCGACGACGACGAAGGTTCGGGCGGCGCATCGCTGGTTCTGACACTCTCATCGCACAAGAGACGAGGCAGAGTGAGGAGTTGGTTCGTCTGTGAGATGTGGGTTTGTGGGAGAGGGGAGGCGGTTAAATAGTATTTATATTAGGGTTTAGGTGGGTATTGACTAAACTATCCATGATTTAATTTTGTTCATAGGATTATTTTTTAATGTAATGGCTATTAAATTAGTTAGGATGGTGCTAACCCTTTAAAGAGTTAGTACCCAATCCCATTCCAATATTGTCTTTTTTTTTTTAATTTATCACAAATAGGGCGGTTTAAAAATTATTGACACATATATTGTGTTTTTTTGTAGGGTTGAAGTGTGTCCGCCGAGACTCAGGCGCTGGCGCGTTTTGAGTTTTTTCTAACGAGTTGAAAGCGCCCGAGATTGAAGCGTGCCCGCCCGAGACTCAGGCGCTAGCGCGATTTGAATTTTTTCCAAAAATTTAATAGCACCATCTCCTGAGACTCAGGCGTCCTCGCATCCCTCTTTTCTTATCTTCTTCTCCACCACTCACCAGTCTCGCCCGCCCGAGAGAAAGAAAGAACACAACATCAGTCGTCCCCCCGACCCCCACACCCACCAGTCCGAGACGGTAGCGCCGAGCAAGGAGGCTGCAGGGAAGGTAGGAGGATTTTCATATCTCCAAATTGTTATTTTGTGTGTGAATTGCCTTTGATTAGATATGGGTGCTTCGTTATTTTGGTACCAGTGCTAAGCACGCTGGAAGATATGGTTATGCAGATAGTTCTGTGTTTTATTCTCGTCTGGTTTTGGATGTAGATTGACTTTTATTGTGGGTTACTATGGAGCTAAATTCTTTAGCCAAACACAGCGAACCCTCCAGAAACAAACCAGACAATACCAAGGTAGTCATGGTTAACCAATGGCAGAGGTCGGAAACGCCAAATCAGGTATCCTTTCAGCTTATGGAGTTAGTGTTTCCTTTGCTTGAAGATTGTATGTTATACTGATTGTGTTGTTGCTAGAAGAGAGGATCTTTCGGGTTGCCCTTATTCACCCATCTAAATATCTTTTTGGGTTGCCCTTATTCCATCTAAATTCCATCTACATGTAAATATAAGTGAGAGAGCTATGAATGAATTTAATAGCCATACTAGGTGAAATTTGAGTTCCTTTAATTTTGTGGCGAGAGTTAGAATTGGCAAATTCTTTTTTGTACCAATATTTTATATAGTCATTTATTGAAAGCGTCAACAATCAGATTTTTCGACAAGCTGCCTGCAAATGCAACCCCGGTTCACCTTTGGAGCGATTCTCCAATTTTGCTTGAAATATTTGTATCTTCGTCCTATCTCGAATTCATCATCAGACAACTCTCTTTGCTTTTGAGATTTGTGTCGTTGTCATCCTCAAGTGCTGACGACACTACTCATACCCTGAATTCGTCCATGCTAACTTCAGTAGCTCCATTGGTTCATGTGCTTAGAGTTTTGTCATAACTGAATAGTTTTAGAAAACAAAGTTGGCCATAATTTCTTTCTGTAATGAACCCTTAAGCTTATGCTGTTAAATCTATATAGTTAAACTTAATAAACTTAGTTTTTTGTCCACTACTATTTCAAATATCCATGCTAAACTTAAATTATACCAATGAATGCAAACTTTAAAGAACTAAGTATATGACAATGATTTGTAAACTTTTGCTCAAAGAAAGATTTCAATTCACATCCTCTATCACGAGTGTTGAACTTAAAGGTGCTATTGAGGGACTATGGATTGCTTGGGAGAGAGGGTAAAGGAAAGACTAGCGCAAATAGGACTCGACTGCTGCAATTAATATTGCCAAAACCTGTTTGATGATGACCATCGTCACAGGATCGTTGCAAGATAGTTCTACATCCTACTTAATCTGGTGTGGGAGGTATGAATAGATAATGTGCATAGAGAAGTTAATTTGCAGCTGATTTCTTAGCTAATAGGGGTCACTTTGTTAATTTTGGCACACATCGTTTCATATGTGTGTGATCCTGGTCTTGGATGATGGTTGTTACACGACATCATGGGCATTGCTCATGATCGTTCTATTTTTAATATGAATTAGACGCTATTACGTCAATCTTTCACACAAAAAAAGAGTTAAATTCATTTCCCTCATTCACATTGAAAATGGTAAGAAATTCAAAAATACATGTCAATATTCTTATATTATATGTAATTATATAATTCGTGTCATGATCAACAAGAAAGATAAAAATTGAAAAAAGAAATTCATGTATACTTTGAATTCCATTAAAGTACGATCATTTTCTTTTATGGTGAAGATTGATTATGTATGTATCATAGGAAGCAACTCACACATTATATATGGACTGTTTATATGTGCAACACTTTGTTTGAAACATATGCGTTACTATTGGATGCATTCCTTTGTTAGTCATTTTGACTTTCTCGTGTTTTCAATAGGTTCTAAGTATACTCAAAGTAATTTGAGTGTTTGACTAGAAAGTTCATAGCCAAATGCAAAACAAAATAAACATCATTAGTATAAATGGACATACAAATTACATAACCATCGAACTTTACCGGCCAACAGGTTGGCCCTGTGCTAGTTTTGAACAAAGAACACACACATTTGAAAGCGAGAGGAGAGGAAAACGGGTTAAGGATAATAGTAAAATCATTGTACAAGTAGAACACACTTCATTAGCATTGTCTAACTATTTTTATTATTATTTCAAATCATTTTTAAAATATGTTATAGCTTGTTTTTAAAAGAACTAGACAACCATATCATAAAGTATAAATCAAATTAGAAAATCCACAATGCATATTATGAAAGTATACAAATTGTGCAATTATTAATACTTTAAAAGAACAAGTAAGAATTCTATTGTTCCATAGTGTCACATCAAAGTTAATTTTTTATTAATTAAAATCAGCCAGTGGGATTAAATTTTATTAATTAATCAATCTATTTTTCTTAATGCTTTCTTTCTCTCTTCCTTTCTTTATTATGTGCATAATTCTCATTAGTACTTTGTGGTTAGGTCATGAGTTTGTACACAATAATACATTTAGTAGTTTTAAAGTGTTGATGTCATGAGTAACCAAGAATTTGAAGTGCTTGCCCATTTGGTTTTATGCAGGAGGCGAAAATTATGTGAGATCTCTATTCTGCCAGTATTTTCTAAAGAGATTTTATAGTATCTAACTAAATGATTAGGTTATTCATGAAAAAGGCAAATTGGAAGATATGAAGTGGAGTGTTGTTTTTTGTGTTTCATATTTTGAAGTAGCAAAACATATCCTTCCTACTTCTTGCTATGTTTTTTTGCTTTGAATGTGACTACAGTAGGTCCAGTATTGTATTTGTGTCTCACTTCATTTTTACATGTCCTGACTTTTTTGCTAATAGCAATGTGTTCAGTTGGAAAATTATAGATGGAGAACTCAGTAGTGAATTGGACCGGACGATGGTTCGTCTGCATTGAAAGCAAGATCAACTGCAATCCAAAGTATATATACTATTTCTACGCGAAGCGAAGCGAGCGGGCAATGACTGGTAACTATATAAACCATCATTAAGTATATATCTGTTGATCCAGCAGCTTTCTTGCATACTGGAAGATCCTCATATCCAGGACTCCTATTAATAACTCCGACGATGGTTTCTATTTTCCCGCAGCGGCAATAGGCGATGACGAGCAGCCGCAGACAAGTCGCCGGTTATGTCCAACGAGGAGAGTGAGGGTTGCGGCTGCTAAGGAGTTCCGCCAGGGAGCTGC